GAAGTTGTTTAGAGGCCATCTGAATGGATCTGTCAGTCTCAGAGCAGGTGGTTGTGCGTCTGCGTGCGAGCTTGCCGTCTTTCAGTCGCTCTGAAATCTCAGAAGTAACGTCTTTGGTTCTGCTCTTTGTCTTTTCTTTTGCTCGCATTTCCACGCCAGGTTGCTGTTTTTTATTCGTCTTTAAATCCCCTCACATTCAAAGGACAGTGAAAAACATCTTTGTAATTCTTTAACCGCTTACACGTTGAAAGGGCCTTGAGCACCAGCTATGTGAATATGCTTGCAGTGAATGGATGTGTTGTGCAGGGAGATTTCTGCATCACATGGCTGTTGTTTTTCTTCTATATTGTGAGCAGTGGTATGATTTGTGTGTGTGTATGGACAAGAAGGGGGTCTCATCGGGCCCTGCTGTGTTGTGCCAGGCGGTTCTGCACTTTGTGAGACATTTGGGACATGATATTTTTCTTGTTTTATAGTGTGTTGGTTTTTCACATGTACTGTATGGGGACTCGGGAGTAGAGACCTCCACTGTAGTGTGAGGGGTTCATCTAATGTATAATTCTGTATCAGGATACACTATTGTGGGTTCAAAGATGCTGTCGAATTTGATAGTGGTAGCAATTCTTTTGTACCATTGGAAAGATATATTTGATGCCTCAGTTATTTCTTAGACTGTGAGGAGATTAAATGGAACGTGAATGAAGACTTCTGCTTTTTCTGTCATTTTTCTCCTGACAAAAGACTCTAATATATCTCCTCTAGAGTTTTAAAAGAGATCTCAACAATGACACACTGCGATTTCAGTATGAACTTAAATATTTATCATCGTCTAACTATTATCTGAGCTGCAATACCACCATATCCTTTCATTTGTGGTGGGACTACACTCTTAAAAAGGTTATAAAAGAGGGGGTTTGCCGTGATGCCATAGAAGAACCATTGTTTTGTTTTGTTTTCCCCCAAAGACAGTTTTTAGTGTGAAGAACATTTTGAAAATCCAAAGAACAATTTGTGGAATGGAAAAGTTGGATGTTAAAGGTTCTCTATGGAACCATCAATGCCTGGACCTTTATTTTAAAGGAATTCTCCACTTTTTTTGGAAATTGGCTAATTTTACAACTCCAAGTTAAACAGTTGGGTTTTACCGTATTCGAATCCATTCGAGACAGTTTCTGGTCTCATTGACTTCCATAGTATATTTTTTTCCTACTATGGAAGTCAATGAGACCAGAAACTGTCTGGTTACTGATATTCTTCTAAATATCAGAAAATCGGCTGAAAGGATTAGAATACGGTAAAACCCAACCGTTTAACTCTGGAGGAGTTGCAAAATTAGCCTATTTCCAAAAAAAGTGGAGTATCCCTTTAACGAGTGAATGTGAATAATTTTAACAGAAACTGGGCAGAGGATTTCTAGTTCCCAGCATGCTTTGCAATGGAACTGGATCAGGGGAATAAATTAGGACTGGGAATTTCCACAGACGTGCCGGATCGATGCGGTTAAAGGGGGTGGTTATAGCTGATTCAATGCCCTGACATATCAGTTACTTTTCTTTCTTCGCTTCAAAAGAAGTTGGAAATACCTTTGCAAATGTATACTGTTAATGAACATCCCAATGTTTAGATGGACGTGTGTGTAGGCTATTGCATGCTTTGCTCTCAATAACAAAAACTGTACACACCACATTGACAGAGGTGAGAAAACAGGCGTTTAGAAAGCATCTGATCGTAGTGATGTGGATATAAGCTCTACAATTCACTTGCATTATGGTAATTAAAATTACACTGAAAGTTTGATTATAAAGTATAATTCATTATCGATCTCTGGCTATGTGATACTATAGTGTGAATAAATCCATTTTTGTAGCATTACATTAGTTCTATTGGCATGATCCTGAACACTGCACAGACATTTGTTTCATGTTTCATTGAATGGAATGGAATGAAATGAATGCAACAAATGTATGAATATATCCCGTTTAAGGATGGGTTCATAAAGGCTGTGATGTTAACTGTTTCTAGCTAGATTTAATTGACAAGTCAGCATTCAGAGGCAAAACACTTCTGAATAATAGCTAGTTACTACAGTACTTTTAAAACTGACTGCTCTGCTCATCTGGGAAACATATCTTTTTTTACTGTGCGGTGTCTTGTCTCTAAGTAAATAATTGTCTTAAGTTATTTGCATTATAGTTGAACATAATTCAAAGTATAAGCTGATACTCAAATTAAGCATTACTGAGATCTCGGAACTAAATGAAGAATAGCTGTACGCTTCCTGAGCTATGAAAGAACTTCTAAGCAATAACAATTTCCTCTGGGATGTTCTCGGGCCTGTGGTAATGCGCTGTGTTGTTGTGTGGATCCGTGTTGCTGAGTTTTGTGGTTGCATTTTTCCCTGTTTTCTTTTTTGTGTTGTGGTTCGGGCCCGTGAAACTGCAGGGGAGAGCATTGCGTGAAGGGTGGTCAGAAGAAGAGCAGTAGCCTGTCATCCTAATGGACTAAAACTGTCAGTACTAATGACCCAAGAAACAAACCAAGAAGACAGCCTACAAACACACACACACTCATACATATAAACATACACAGACACACAAATCCCTGTCTGCTTATCCAAGGATACGCCAATCTAATATTAAAAGGATCAACTGGTTTGTTTTCATCGACTTTATAGGGATTTTTTTCCCCCTGAGAACAGAGCAGTTTTGTCTGCAGTACATTCCCTCTGATATAAATAATGACCTCTATGCCACAGCGTGACCTTCACTCTTATCCGTATATGGCCTGAGGTCGCTCACTTTATCACAAGATGAGTTAGGACATTAAATGCATATCACGGGGTCTCAACTAAAGTACTTAAAGTCAGATAAAAAAGGAGACACAATCCAAAAAAATGCAGGCCTAGGTGAGTTTAGTTTGTTAAAAACTGTTTATATGACGTTCTACTACAAGTTGACTACTACAGTATCCATCTTTCAGTTTGAATAGGGAACAATACACCATATTTGGCCATCTGTCAATCAATGGGGTTTCCAAGCTGTCAAGTTAATGGGCCTTTCAGCTATATATTCCTGGTGTGTGAGTGTTTGTTTTGGTGTACATGGTTTAAAATACAATAGCAAGTGACTCATTGACAGAAAAATGTCATTTAGTTATCCATAAACTAATGAGCTATTTCTGTAGAGTATCTCTGATACTCTAAAAGTACAATATACTGTGTGTATATATATATATATATATATATATATATATATATATATTCTTGGATTTGTATTCCATCTTCTAGATGTATGCGTTATGATAAAAGAATCCCACACATCTTTTGTTTGAGGTAATTGTACTGATGTATTTGCTGTGGAGTGAACCTGTTTGATCGTGTTCTGAACTTTTATACTGAGATTGTCAAGTCAAGTATATTTATATAGCGCTTTTCACAATGTAGATCGCATCAAAGCAGTTTCACAGTATCAATTAAAATATATAACAATGTTCGTTTCTAAGTGGAAAAATATCCATGTTTGGTAGAGCTGATCAATGGTAGGCTATTATTAATTGGTTAATTAGAATATCCCCAATTGAGCAAGCCAAAGGCAACAGTGGCAAGGAATCGAAAAACTCCTTCAAGTGACCTAATGGTGTCCTAAAACTCCATCAGGTGACCCAATGGAGAAAAGAATATAGGCAACTGTTTTCCTCTCATCTCTCTCTTTCTTTATGTAGGGTTCATTGCACTTAGTAGAGCAGTTCTGCGCTCATAAAATATGATATCTATTATTCACATCTTCCTCTATCACTAATGCTCCAACATTTTATGCCCCCATGAAGTCCTCCTTGCTCAGAGGTGACAGTCTAATATCGGAGTCAGTGTCAAGAGAATCGCTCATATCCAGATCCATCTGTTTTATTCCCGTCCGTTTGTCAACATCTTGCACTCAACATCTTAATCAAATGTTTATGTAAAGGAAAGCAGCTTACTGCGATTTTGCCAAGACATGTTTCTAGATCAACATCCTTGTTGCTTGAAAAAAAACCCATTATTTTCAACCAATCAGATTTTAGGTTTGGGGTTAGACCTACGGCTTGAACAACATCCATATTATCTATCTGATTTTAGTGGTAGGTTATAGTTTGGGATGGGATTTAGACTATGAATTTTTGGATCAATCTGAATATTCGGTTACATGTATTAGTGAGGTGAATTATATTTCAGAGGGTTTTATTATTAGATTTTGAGTGACCATCAGATTTTCCCTTTTCATTATACATCAGCTTTCAATCCGAGTGTGAAGTCATATGCTGCATTTAGTGATTTGATACAGTAATTGTTGTGTCATGTGTGAAGCACACAACATTTTAGCCCTTTTAACCTATTTGACCTCACAACCTTCTAGAAACCACTGACTTGCATACATATCCATACTGTAAATGTAAATCTCTAAACTGATGAACTTTCTCATTAAGAAAAACTTCAAATAAAATCCACATATGTTATTTACTTAAACAGTGTGTATTTAATTAATATTTGGCCTTTTAAGTGCACAAAAAGCTTTTTTTCTATTCTATATTATTCATATACTGTACATAGCAATTGTGTATAACATATATAAAACATGCGAAATGAAGTGAAATTTTGAGCAAATATTTATATTTTTGAAAAATCCAAAAGAATAAAAGTGTTTTTCAGGAGATTTGAGATCCTATATTGTTCTTATTTATAAGTACAATAGCAAACATCAGGTCTGTAGTGTCGACAGTCCTGCTATTGACTAAAGATGTATTCATTTTTTAAAGCACATTTTAATTCAGACATTCTGTATGCAACCATACATGGGATTTTTTTTTTTTAATTTAATCTTAAATACAGTTCAAAGTTCTGGTTTAAATTCAGCCATTCCTGAGGAACACAGAAATGTTTCAGTTCACAGACTTTGACTCTGACCCAACACGCCTGCAAACCTGGGGGTAATGAAACTGAGAAAGAAAACCAGATGAGAGCTTACCTGAACTTTGTCTTTTCAGTCAGCTTCTCTCTTGAAGTGGGTCGAACTGCTTCGTCCTGATGTTTTCGGGGACTTTCATTCTTCTCTATTCCATCCTTCTGAGCCCTTCAGTGCATCTCCAGCCTCTTTTTTGTTTTGTACTGTTCTCCCTGTCTCTTTCCTTCTCTCTGTCTCTTGTTCTCTCTAACGGCAGTTTTGAAGTTGCGGTGGCGTAGCTTCTTCTCCAGACTATAAAGGTGAAATAAAACTCAAGGTTGTAAAAAGAAACCGTGTGTGTGAGTGAGGAATGTGAATGAATTAGAAAGTCTGTCTACATGCTGCGTGTGTCTGTCAATGTGTGCATGGAGTGTGTGTATGAGTGAATGAACAACAGACAGAGAGAGGCAGAGAGAGAGAGAGCACAAACACGTCGCCCCTGAGGGAAATTCCTCCCTCCCTCCCTCTCTCGATCTCTCTCTATCTTGATCTCTCTCTATCTCTCTGTTTCTAGCCCCTTCCTATCATAGTATTGCTCTGCCTCTTCTCCCAGCCTCTCTCTCTCTCTCTCTCTCTCTCTCTCTCTCTCTCTCTCTCTCTCTCTCTCTCTCTCTTCTTCCTCATATTTGATTTGCGTTTCATCGCCTTTTCTCATCCAAATACATGAACTCATTCTTCACTTTGTCTCCAAATGTCTTTTTTTCCCCTCCTCATATCCCACTTTCAGAACAGCCTGTTGTTTTACCAGCTCTCTGTGTTTCTGTTCAAGAGCTTTGGATTGTATTTGCCCCGGAAAATCCCCAAAATCATGAATAACTTACAGGGTTCTGGCTCAAACACACAGGGCACAAATAAATGGGCAGCACGTAATGTAGCTCCAGTGTATCTGTAAATCTCCAAACCCACAGCACACATTTATTGTATGATGATACATTACCGTTTGGATTTTTTTTAAAGAACTTTTGGATTTTTTAAAAGAATTAATTTTTCTCTGTACTTCATGTGTTGTAAATAAATCTTTAAAAAAAAATACTTTTTGGCTGTGCTATAAGCTTGAGCCACAGAAAATACTTTTCTAGTGCATGGATACTATTATATTAGCATGAGCTTTTAATCAACATCAAGATTTTTGGTTTAAAGTCATATGAATTTATTAAAAAAAAGTGTTTATATTGGGTTCTGAGACTGGTAATCACTCCTTGTTGTTTTTTTCACAGTTTTTATGCTTGACTATATTTAAAGATAATTAATTCAGATAATTGTAACATAATTATTAAATATTCAAAAATGTATATAGTTTACCAAACTTAAATGAGGTGTTTTAATTTAATATTAATAAAAAAAATATGAATACTATAAATTTCAATTAAAAATTGTATGATGGAATATCCTTTTAGGCTTAGCAGGAAACTATTGGTTTGGGTGTTTTGAACTTTATTACATTAAAGTGTGAGCAGAAACTGTAATATTACATTTACAGTTTCATTTATGCATTTCAATTTCCAACCCTTTTCAACTATCTTTACTATACAGGTCGAAATACAAATCTGTTATTTTACTCACTTAATATTTAGTGTATATATAATTTTTCCTTTAAGAATTGCCTTATTAGTGACAGTAAGGAGTTAAGTGACTTACTAAGTGCTAAATTTAAAACAATTTCTCTGAAATGACTGGGTCTGGGTCTGACTACACCTTCCTTCACTTTCGCTGAGGTCTCTGTCGGATTATGGATTACTACGGAGTTTTATTATCTCCCTCACCCACATGAGCAGTAATGTAGTGTGAAGGGAAGGGGTTGAGAGTTTAAATGAAGACCTCCCGCTGGTTAAGATCTCAGAACGCACACCCCCTCCTCCCTCACTCTCCACATTTGTGTTCCTGCATCTCTGCTTCTAGACCTGGGGGGGGAGGTAGTTACGGGAAAAAAACGGTACCCTGTGATGTCGCACCACGAGGGGGGCGAGTTTGCCTCCTGTTCTCTTCTTCCTCCTTTGAGACATCCAGGGGCGTCTCTAACCCCCAGCCTTGTTAGTGAGAATGTCTGACTTGGCCCTTTCTCTGTGTGTCTCACACTTTTTCTTTCTTTCTTTTTTTTTTTTTTTTTTTTTTGCACTTTTAGTGTTGCTCCATAGAACCTAGCGTCAGCTGTGATCACAGTCGTCTTTCATATTTTTTTCACAATTCCTTCGACTCTTTTTTATATCTGTCTTTCTGTATAGAGAACACTCCACAACATTTTCTGTCTGCCTCTGCGGCATCATAATCTTCATCCTTGCCGACGTTCATCCAGGGGCGACATTTCTTCCTTTAAGTGAGATGCTAAGGCTATGTCCCATGGATTCTGAGTTCCATTCCTCTTCCTTCATTAAATTTTCTTTTTGTTTCTCCTCTGCAGGCTGGTTTTTGGAAGAATCAGAGGGGGGTCAGACCACATACTCAGAGGGTGGCCATTCTCAGGTTTAGCCTTCAAATAGAGCGATTGTTTGTGGCGTCCCACAATGTTCCACTTATGAATCTTTTGCACGTCCATCTTGGCCTGGGTGTCTGAAGATTAGAAGGCAGGCCTGAGATCTCAAAATAGCATTACATGGCTGTCAGATCAATTTTCACTCTATTCTGCCTGTTTTATTCTTTTCATTCAGTTCTCTTGATCGACCATTTTTCATACAGTATATGAATTTTTCAAATCAGAATGATTTTTATTCCACCAGTAGATCAGTGGAGTGCAAGGATTTGATGCCATTGAGGTCAAGTACGCACTTTCCTGCAGACAGTTCTCAGATGAGTGAGTTTTTATTTTGCAAGTTTGCTTTCCATTAAAAATGAGGGATTGTTCAACCCAGAATGAAAATCATTTACTCACCCTCAGGACCTTCCAAAAGTGTTTGATTGTCTTGCTTCCATCGAACACAAAAGGAGATGTTAGGTAAGAAAGATGTTACTTAACTCTTTTGTATTCAATGAAACTGAATGGTGACCAAACGCTTACTTTTTCAAGTCTTTATGTAAGGAACAGACTGATTTAAGTTGTTGAATATGTCAAATCTTAATTTTTGCAACTTTAATATGTGCATATTTGAATTTCGCTGTGTTGTGGCACATTATAGGCACATGAGAATTCCATTTTTTTTTATAAAAATGACGTCTGACATGTCATTAAATATGTGTGAATGTAATTTCGGGGTCCCAGACTGTGTGGGAGTGTCAACATCAGGTTGACTGAAAAAATTGATTAAAAATGCAAGTCGGGAAACATCCTCCTCGCAAAAACATGTCTTCTTTAACGCCCAAATAACCAAGAAAGGTACTAAAAGTACAGACAGATTCCAGACAGAAATGCAACCTCACAAATACACAATCTAAAACTTGGACTTGTAATAAATTATTAAAAGCATTACATTTATTTGCTCCTTTATTGTATAAGAATACATAGTGTCATGAACACCGTTTAGATGCGTAATGGAAATGAAATGTAAATATGTGTTTACATTCAGCTGGTAGCTTTGAAGCTTTCAGGTGCGGGTACAGATAAATAAGCTCATATACATGAGAGAGTAATCTTTCAATTCTACTAAAGAGATGGCATGCAAGAAATTCTGTGATTTGTATGATTAATGGTTTGTGTGTTGTTGAGCGGTGTAGTGCTAGCAGCACTTTGAGATGCATGGTTATTTTCAGTGTCAACAGCAATTTATGGCATATGAAAATAAAAGCAGGAGACCTGCAAAAGGGGAACAGTAAAACAGGTATCTCTTTGCTCAGGCATTGTAGTGATCATCAAACATACATTATACATAGCAAATCACTTTGAGATTTCTGGTATCTGCTTGGTTTAAAGAGGATGTGCTGCTCTTTTACTGCCTGCTGTACATTAGATGACTATAGTCGTAAAATCTCTGCTTACATTGCACTGCCGGCCAAATGTGCCGGGCAACAATAAGAAAATACTCAATGCGGTACAGTTGACTTTCTTACGAGACATTGGGCCTCGTAAATAATATGACTGAACAAACTTGCAAACATACTTAAATTTCTTTTTCAAAGGACAATAATGTCTGGATCGCTGACTCAGAAAGGACCCTTTCTGCGCACTATATCACATTGATGACTTCTGATTGGTCTGAAGAATTTCTAAAAGAATTTGATACAAATGTTTAAAATAAAAAAGTCATTGGAAACTACATTGTCCTTGAAATAATCCTCAAGCATTTGGCTAATTCATTCAGAGGGTTTAAACTGCGAACGCAGTTATTTATTGTTAATGTGATATAAGTTTTATTCACTCTGACACCTCTACTAGATATACAGCTTGAACCAGTGCAATCCAGTCCTGAAATAATGACTCTATGAACTTTTTAAATGAATCAGAAACACAGTGTAACAAGTGTAATCCGATTCTCGAACGAATTACTCTAGGTCAGGGGTGCCCAAACTTTTTCCTACGAAGGGCCAAAAATCAAACTTGATTGTGGGCCAAAAGTAAATTTTGCATCATAAATCAAACGGTATTACATTAAAGTTGCTATGGGTTTATTTGTTTTATAATATTTAAAATAAATATAAACAACTTCAATCTGATTAACTAATGCAGTTTTATTTGTAAAGTTTTGCATTTTAAAGAAAAAATCCCCTCTCCCCGGACGGCATGGCGGGCCAAATCAAAGGATACCGCGGGCCCTAGTTTGGGCATCTTTGCTCTAGGTTCTTAAAGTGAATCAAATTCATCCAACTGAACTGTGAGGCTTGAATTACTTGCTGCTTGTTCATATGATTACATGTAATTAAAGATACACATTATGTGCTTTAGTTTTTTTTAATAATATTAATGAGTGAATTAATGTTTTACCCCATTTGTTCACACTTTATATTAGGTATCTTTAACTACTATGTAAATTAGTTACAGGTTTAATTACATAGGTATTTTTAAAACAACAGTTCAGGTTAAAAGCATATATACATTTACACACAATAATTGCATTGTTGTAAAAAGTGTTCAGTTGACTTAACTTTAAAAAAAAGTGAGGTCATTTTTTAAACGCGTTACTCTAAAAAGCTAACGTACTTTTTCAAGAACTGTTTTCAGTTTATTTATCATTGAAGTCATCTCATGATTGTCAATGTAATTTTTCATGTTTTAAATATTTACCTGATGCAATTAACCAACCAGATGCTGTAAAACTAATTTTATTTAAAAGAGGTGTCTGTGTATGTTTTCTATTGATCATAGCAGCAGTAATCCATCAAAAGTGAGAGAGGAGCATCATAACATGGGCACACATCCAGACACTCAGTGTAGACAAGAGGACATTTGGCACATCAGAGCGCTGATTCAGGTGTCTCGGCTGCAGAGGTTCAGTGATACTGTGCAGTCCATTCAAGCAAATCCAGATCAGGATATTCATTTTTTACAACCTGACACGACCCACAAGATTGGGAACTTGATTGTTTAACGCCACTTTTTAACACCAATGTAATTCTTAGTGAGTTCTCCATGTTGTCTTTTGCATATGCAGTTTTATGCACAAGTTTGGGCACCCCTCTGAGGTTGCATGATAATTTGCTCTGTTTTCAAAAAAAGATTGTAGTGATATGCCATTCAGTTTCTAGAGAAAGCTGGATAATGTGATGTTTTTCAGACAAATTAGTGTAACAGTATTGAGTTGTATGAAATAAAATCAAATAGGCTGTGCAAAAGTTTGGCCACCCTTTCAATTGTATTGATTTGAATAACTGGTCACTGAATGCTGATTGATTGCAACATAATTAATAGCATAATTCATTTAATTTTCTCAATGTACAGTAGACTGAAACACACAGGTCATGAAAAAGGACATTCAAGGTAATTGCTAGTTGTGTTTCACTTTAATTACAACATGGGGACCTCAAAACAACTCTATAATGACTTAAAAACATAGGATAATGAATCAACATGAATTAGGAGAAGGGTACAAAAAGTTATCACAAAGGTTTACGGTCTCTGTCTCCACAGTCACATTAATAGTTCGAAAAAGGAATAGTCCTTGTGAAGGAAAGATTTATAGGCCAAGAAAAATATCTAAAAGGCAAAGGTGAAGAATGGTCACAGACAATCCACAGACCCCAAGGAGCTCCACGAACATCTTGTACATTGTACATTGTTCCCCTGGATGTGCTCTCAATACAGCTCAATGGAAGCGTGATGCGGACTGATGAAACAGATGAATGGCTGTGGACAGATGAAACTAAGATATTATTTGGTCACATCCAGAAGCGATTTGTTTGGAGGAAAAAGAACGAAGAACCTGCTCCCTACTGTAAAATTTGGTGGAAGGTCCATCATGCTATGGGGCACTGTGGCAAGGACATGTACTGGAAATGGTTGAGGGTTGCATGGATTTCTCCCAGTATCAGCAGATTCTTAAGAACAATGTTCTAGAATCAGTCAAGAGGTTGAAGTTATACCGGGGTTGGTTGTTTCAGACGCACAATGATCCAAAGCATTGTTCCAAATCTACCAATAAATTCATCCACAGACACACATACAATGTCCTAGAGAGGTCATCACAGTCCCCAGATGTGAACATCATCTTAAATCTATGGAATGATTCGAAGAGGGCTGTCCACACTCCGAAATCATCAAACCATACTGAACTGGAGACATTTTGCAAGGAAGAATGGTTCAAAATTCCTGCAGCCATAATTCAGGGACTTATCAATAGCTATAAGAAGCGACTAGGCTGTTATTTCAGCAAAAGGAGGCTTTACTAAATATTGATGTGGTAATTCCATTGGGGTGCCCACATTTTTGGACCTGTCTGTTATGACGCTCATTGTGTTGTTTCTGTTGATTCAATACATTTTATTTCAGAACTGAAATCTTACTGTAGTGTTTCCATAAGGTATAAATTATATCCAAATGCAGTTGCTGCTTTGAAAGCCCAGCAGATTATAAACTGAAATTATAATGCACAAGCTTTTGCATAAAACTGTATACCTAATGTAGAATGGTTGCATAGTTTCCTCTGTGGGAACAATAAATTATATCTTGATGTTTATAATTATAGATACCTTTACATTTTATTTATTATTTCATCCATTTTACATTTTAACGTTCAAGTCATGCCATTTGAGTGAGTTTTAATTAACAATATATATGTGGTGAGGGAGACTGCGGAAGTGTTTGTAAACCTAAAGTGATCTCTTCTCTGGAGAACGTCATGCTGAGGTTGTTATTGCATCAAGTTGCAGCCACGTGCCCAGGGCTGGTCCTCAGATGAACAGGCCCCAGGGCAATCAATGGACAATAAGCTAATAGGAAGCTAGGCTAATAGTTTCTTCAATAAGACATCCAATAACAAGGGTTTAACTTCCATAATGGGCTATATGCACGCATAAGTTCCGCATTTGACGTAAGGATGCTCGTCCATTTCCGGTTGTGTAGATTAAAGCAGAGGAAAACCGGAGAAAACGGGATTATGGCAGAGTCTTTAATATTTACTGTCCTCCCGTCTTTGAAACGAAACGTACATACGTTTAGATGTAATTTTATATATAGTTATGTTTATTTAATATAATTTTAAAAAGAAGCATAAACACAACGAGGGGTGTCTGTTTTATCTGTTTTTGTGACTAACGTTTCATTAGTATAACCATGGAGTATAAAATTCAATATAAATTCTCGGTATTGCATTGGACTCTATGATCGGCGGAAGTTATCGAGCATCCTTAATCCTTCACCGGAAATAACGCCGTGCATAGAGCCCATATGTTCACTTCTTGAGCTGAATGTTTTGCTGTAGTGTAGCTTCTAGCCTCTGCACTAGACACATGCGGCTATCATGTGCTATTAACAGGTTGTGCTAAGCAGCAAAAGGGTAGACTTGCAAACCTGTGTGCAAATGTGACTAATTACCATGTATGTGTGAGAGTCTGTGGTTTCTTACTCAGGAGAAAAAAAAGTCATTTGGACAGAGGAGCGTGTGTTCGGCTGATCTGTCACTGGGGCCAGAGCGTGGGCACTGCAGGGGCGCTGGACAATTACCACAACTCACACGGCATCACCTCAATCAGAAGTGGCCTGGAGCGCCACACTTTACTGTGGCTCTATTTCTGGGTTGGTGCAAAGGTGATACATGCAATGTCCTGTCAATGACAATTTCTGCCAGATACATTTGCCGAAAGCAATAGCAGTAACAAAGAAATTCTAAAAAGCTCTATGGTAGTACTGTGTTTTTAGACATGGTTTTTGGTAACGTGGTGATGCCAAAGTCATTTGGACCTATCCCGGTAGCACCATGATGTTAATTTATGGGAAATGTAAATTATTGAATGTGAATATGTTGAAGTGTAACTCGACGATTTTCAACCCACTTTGTATTGTTTCAATGTCAATAGTATATGTAAATGAACAATGTTTACTCGTTCTCCGTGTTACCTGGACTAAGAAATTCATGTTTATTTGTCAGCAAAAGTCCACCAGATGACGCAAAACGCACCAGCTTTCATGAAAACTACAGACTTCCGACTGTCAGATCGACAGAGGGTTATTAACAAAGCAGTTACAGCATAGGTTTATTACTAAAATTGTACCCTACTTTGTCTACTCTTTAAACAGTATTATGGGAAATATGGGAAAAATATGGCAACAGCTTTCTTACCTGTATGCGCTACCATTTTGCTTCAGGGAATTGGGCGGAACTGACAGAACGGCAGTTTATTTCAGTTTTTCATATTAAAAAAAAAATGATTTTGTGAAAAATATGAAATGTGAAAAAATGTGAAATGGGTCCAGGGGACAGCGGGGCTTGTTTTCACACTGGGAAGTTGTCACAAGTATTATATCTGTGTAGGCCTACAACGACGTAAACAACAACAACAAAAACAACATTTTTTTTTTGTTACTAATGATGAATGTAGGGTTTTTAATTGTATGTTTATGTTTTCTGTACAGCACTTTGGTCAACTTAGGTTGTTGTAAAGTGCTAAACAAATAAAGTTGGTATGGTATGGTAACAAAAAAAGGTTCAAACTCAATTGTGAATTGTTTATAAATTTGAGGTTGTCATAATTGTTTTAAATGTTATAATTCTATGCAGTTCATTATTGGCCAAAGCAATGGTTTGAAGTTTTCAATTTTTTATTATATATTATAATTAAGTTTAATAAACTGTTATGTAATAAGTGTTTAATATATTTAATACATTTCACATACACTGCTGTTCAAAAGTTTGGGATCGGTAAGATTTTTTAAATGTTTTTAAAAAGTCTCTTATGCTCACCAAGGCTGTATTTATTTGATCAAAAATGTAAAAAAAAAAAATTCAAATGTCATCTCTCTCTCTCTCTCTCTCTCTCTCTCTTAAATTTTAAATTGTAATAGTAGTAGTTCACAATATTACTGATTGTGTATTTATATATATTGTGTATATAAAGCTGAACTTTCAGCATCATTATGCCAGTCTTCAGTGTCACATGATCATTCAGAAATCGTTCTAATGTGCTGATTTTCTGCTCAAGGAACATTTATACTTATCATCAATCAATTTATTTCAGATTTAATAAACAAAACAGTTTTAATATTTTTAATTTGATCATAATAATAAGTTTTGTTACAGTCCTTTTGTGAGGAAAAAAAGACATGTATAAGAAAAAGAAAGATCACTTGAGAATGAAAGAGAGGGAATTGTCAAGAGCATCGTTGTGTAATGCTAATGGGCTTCATTCCCCTTACAGCTAATTTCTAATGAGGTTTCATCAATCATCTCACTCATTGTTTCATTTTTAGGAGATTTGATTAGAAGACTGTGTGTGTTTGTGTTGAAATCAGTCATCTCAGTCCTCCTCTGTTTCTCTGGTTACTTTAGAGCTTCACACTGAAGCCCCTAGACCTCTTATGGACGTCATTTTGGAGCCCCTACAAGGACCTGGCCCCACGCTGGAACAGGTCTACTGGGAAAGGTGTGAATGTGTGTGTAAGTGTGAGTAATGGAAAAGGCGGGATTAGATCCATCATGCTACAATCCTGTTAGAGTGTGCAAGCAGGCATATTTTCATGCATGCGTATTTATGTCCTTTTGGATGTTTTTTTTTTTCTGAGAAGAAGCTACATAACTGTTTAAAACAACTGATGTGGTAGAAAAAAAATGCTAATGCAATCCCCAAGTCACCGAATCATAAATTCTCTCTCCCAACCATCAAAGGTTTTCAGAAATCCCTGGCAACCACATAAACAACCCACAGCTTGTGTCGATGTGTGTGGTTTTGCATATGTATAATAAAGTCAGACAGACAGACAGACAGACAGATGAGAGAGAGAGAGAGAGTCTGGTTTAGATAAAGGAATATAAGCATGTGTCTCATACGCCATCCTTCCCTTGAAGATTATTTTTTTGGGGGGGGGAAGGAGTGGGGGGAGTATGCCATGCAATCATTTTCTAACATGAGACTTTACAGGGATAGAAAGAGAGAGACCCATATTCAGAATGAGACATTTTGACTGACCTAAGAATTGGCAAATTTTTTAGGTCTCTGGTAGGGTTAGGATCCGATAACATCATCTAACCGACGTTTAAGGGTACCCTAAAAAGGCGGATGTTGACGTATGGTCAAAAGACAGATTCTCAAACCTGTCCCCCCACCACTGCACATTTTGGACCTGGTTCAACTCATTAGAGACCGTAAATCCAAAAATGGGTGTTAAGAGAGAGATCCGAAATGTGCACTGGTAAGGGATTTGAAAGGCACTGATATAGTATACGCTAACAAACACAAATCAATGTGCTAACAGTCTCTCAGAATGCTATCATATGGTAATCGTCAGGCAACCACTCTAGGATTGTTGAGTTTAAGTTTAAATGTTGCTTTCTGGTCCTTCATGGCACATAGGGAGTCTTGCAAGAATTAACTTAGAATTGCATTATGTAGAACTCTGTATACTGTTGCCTAAGTCCTCTTGAGGTGAGAGAGAGAACAAAATGTACTGTTTAAGTACCCACTTTTAGAACAATAGATTTGTCCTTGGCCCAGATGTGTCATTGCTCAAATCTCCCCACAGGTAAAACTGTACATCCATTCAATGCAAAACCCTCACATGTTGTCACAGTCTAGTGATTTAGGGCAGTCAGACAAATCAAAGCATTTATTGGGTCGCCAAAGTCCCTTTCGAGGAAAGTCGGTTCACTTGGCGGCCATATTTTGGTGTATGAAAGACCAACCTGTTTCTACTAATGGAAAATATCATACTGTATGTCTTTGTTGTTTCTGTATTTTAACACTAAAAAGTGAAACTTTGCCGTTTTTATTTTAAGGAGCTATATTTTTGCCTGATCTGACCCTTAAAATTGACTTTGGTGTATGTAGTTGATTGTTTTGATTGTATTAAATAATGTTCTTAACTTGAATACTGTAGGATTATTAGTTATATATAGACATATATAGACACACATACTATATATATATATATATATATATATATAGTACACATTTTTCCATCCTATTCCAAAGTGTTAATTTGCAAACCAGAAAAGATTTAATATTCAAAATATTTAAATGTCACATGAGTGAACCAATTTTAATAAAATTATTAATTTAACAAATCAATTTCAAACTATTTTTGCCACAAAAAAAAATATGGTTCATTTAGAAATTCATGTATGAAATATATTTTTAGAACTGAAAAACTGGCTTGACAAAATATATTTGAATATAAGTATTTTCTCATGCACATCTCTCAGTCAGGTAGCGGTTCAATATGATGATCCTTTTATAAATATTCAGTCACGTAACAACAACAAAAAAACTAAAGAGTGATTATTTTCTAATTAAATTAAAGGTGTTAATGAGTTCTCTGATTTGCGATCAGTCATCGTATTTGGCAAATGAACAAGAACATTAAAATACTTTCAATGTAACTAATCTGACGTGGTTTTCTGACTAAAACTAACCAACATATGTAGCAGCTTACTGTCCTAAAACTCATTTTAGAGTTGAATTACAGTATTAGGCTAGAAGCTCTCTGTTGAACTATTGGACCATTGGGATCCCCTGGTCCGTTAGAGTAAAGGGTAGGTTTACTGAAGTCTTTTGGGACTGAGCTTGGAGCCGTTGTCAAGCACCACAGTCAGCAGGGAGTCTGTCTCTGTCATCACATGTGCGTGTGTGAGGCATGAGCCTTTTGATAATGCATTTGCATGTGTGTGTTTGATTATACCTGTGTGCTCCTCTGAGCGTTTTAAGTTTCCATTTGCGTTTGCTTCTTGGCTGATGCTTTCTTATAAATACCTTTATTGTGATTTAACTGAAAGTGCATGTCATTGTGTGTTTATGTCTTTGTGCTTTTAGTGTGTGTTTGTGTGGGTTTTCCGTTTCATAATTGTCAGGTCCTGGACGGTGGTCCCTCGTGGTGAAAGCTGTTGTTTGCTTGGTGCATCTGTCGTTCTGTATATCTCTCCAGACAACTCTCACAACATGATCTCTGTTACTTTCACCTCGGCTTCACACAAACAGCACAGGTTCAGAGGAACAAACTTTCTCTATACGGTTAAAGATCTTTATTTCATCCGACATCATAACTTCACACGGCCCTTGCCTTAATGCTGATTTTGTTCCCACCACTTCTGAAATCTCTTGTGGTAGGGATGTGTATAATACATAAATGCAGGAAGTGACAAGTGTAAATAGGCCCTAAATGTCCAGTTGAGTTTGACACTAGTAATTGTGACAAATAAATGCAGGCTTAGTCATTATTCAAAAATATTCTACCGACCCCAAACTTAGTGTAGTTCATCATAACCCACACATGCATTTCCCTCACAACTGTTTACAACCACGTTTTAAAACAAGAAGAGACCCTTGACACTAATTGTGAGTGCGTACTTCAAGTTTTCTAGACTAGAGCACTTAAATAATTTTACAAAGCCTAATCTGTTCAAATCACAGTAAATGCTGCAAAAGTGCTTTGAGAACACCGTCATCCCAAAAGCAGCATTACTGCCTGTGTTACTGAACGAAATTTGTGATGGCCTTTGTTTAGAACTCCCAGTGTACCTAAGCGCACACTACTGAATTATTCAGTTACATTCGGGAGATTTACCATAATGGTCTGATTTTCATTGTTCTCTATCCATTTTTTGTGCTTTTTTTGTAGGAAATAAGTTTATTTATACACTAAAAAAAATAATTAAAAAAAATAATTGTAAGCCCTTTTAAAGATTTACAAATTTTAGAATTTATTTATTAATAAAAATGTATGTCATATGTGTTCATATTTTTTTAGGTACACTCTTAGAAGAAAAGGTTCTATCAACGCTATGTATTTGGAACCCCTAAAAGGTTCTATACAGAACCCTTTTTAAGGATTCAATAATAAGAACCCTTTAGGGTTCTTTGTAACCAGGAAAATGATTCTATATGGAACCTTTTGGGTTCATTCATTAGGCCTATCATCTGTTTTGTCCTTTCTGGATTTTCATATTATGGACAAACATCAAAACCCTAATATGTATTTATGAATGCATGTGAACGATCACAAAAGTCAAGATATGGGGGTTAGATGTTAGAAAATGTATATATTTATATCATTTTATGTAGTTGTGTTATGTAAAATCAGCATGATTAAAATGTGATATTAAGTTACTACAACAGTTTAATAAACAATAATTTAATTACAACTATAAAATGTTGCAGAATAATGTAATATATGAATGAATAATAGCCTATAAAGAAACTTTGTGCCAAAAGGGTTCTTTCTTGTCATTATAGAACCTTTTTAGCATAAAAAGTTCTTTGGAGTTGAGTCATATATAAAACCCCAATGAACCCTTTTTTCACTATGCAGTTAAAAATACTAAATTGCTTACTGTCACAGCCTGTCGTCTGCACCAGTCTGTCTTCGTCATCTTCACTACACTTCCCAGGATCCTCTTGTCTCCTCTCCTGAAGTCACTCCCTCATCAGCCACCTGTTCCTCGTTTTGATCATCTGTTTCACTGTTTTCACTCCATTATGTTTGATTCATCTGTGTATTTAGTTCCCTCAGTTTCCTTCAGTCTTTGTCGATCGTTGTACTTATATAGTCTGTGAGAGTGTATTCCAGTCTGTTCCGGTCCATTGGATGTGTCAAGTTTAAGTAAAGTGTTTGCATTGGAGTTTCTGGCTCATCTGTCTTCTTCATCCACCTGCACTTCCACCACACCCGTGACACTTACATTTTGCGGAAGAACAGTGTTTTAGTTGTGCTTCGGCTCTACATGACTGTGCGGATGGATATGACGCTTCAAATAGATAATGCTTTACAGTGAAGCTATACATATGGCGTCCATATATTAAAGAGCTAAAAAAAAAACCTTACTCACCTGTTGAGTAATAAAAATATGTGATTAAAACATAGAGCACGTCACTTTTGCAACATTTCAAATCCCTCTGTTCTTGCCATCTCCGAAAAGCAAAGCCAATGTTGATTCTCGTTTTATTGCTCTTTCTCGTTCTCTGTCTGCCAGCAGGCTCTCCTTTGTTTTGTGTTTTTTTTTTTAATAGGTGATTCACCGGAGGTTTGAGATTTAGCGGGTTCCTTGTCAAACTTTCTTTGTGACAACTAAACTACAGTATGCCACTCCCACACAACACATGTATCAAAGTAGACAGAGCAACTTTTCTATATTTACTGATATGACGACACGCGGATGGGCGAGTGATTTATGTACAGTAGCTATACGCAATATTCTGCGAAAACCATCCTAACAAGTCTAAAATATAACGGGTATAATAGGTTTACCATTGTGACTCAGGGTAAGACAATAAAGATTGATGATGTTTTGACTCGTTTTTTTTTTTTTTATTTTGTTAATTTTGGACAAAAAGTTACACAGTGTTCCTTTAAATTAAATGTAAACATGGACACCATGGTACAGAGAATTCAGATTATAATAATATTTATTTCATTACTGCACACAAAATAGTATTTCAGTACTGAAAAATATGAATAGCCTATAGTTATTTCACTCAATATTTGTGTCCGATGTATTGTTTGTGTGTTCATTACAGTATTATGGCAGCTTAGCATCCTACAGTATGCTAATGGAAATCTAGTTGAGTCTTTCATTCACTTCACATGTGCATTTGCAATCAGTAGAGGTCGATGTCTATTAGTAACTTTTTGTAGAATATAAACGTTTGTGGAATATAAAACTGACCAGGTCACACTTTTTGGTTTCAAGAATGAAAATTATTTTAGTGGCAACATACAAATCTATAGGGTATGAAGCTAGTTATGCAAGTTGATTACTCTTGCTTCTTTTAAGAAAAGGACCTGTATACACAGATTTACTGTTGTTGAAAGAATCACTGGACTGTACCATAGGCTATATTTTTATAATGGCAGTAAATCATGTGGCATTTATGTCTAAGTCCTCCTCTTCACTTTGATGAGTGTGTGTAAAGATGATGGCACAGAGTCAATAGCTTCGCTCTGAGAGATGCGTCCTCTAATTGCAGGTGGGAGGTTAAGTGCTGTAATATAACTACAAGGATCATGGCAGTCCCTCTTCTTGGGGCCTAGTTTGTGTGTTTGCTTGTGTGTGTGTGTGTGTGCCACCAAGACTCTTATTAGCAAAAGGTATAAAATAAGTATGGGCTCATTGTTAAAAATGTATATTTATGCTTGGTGGTGTGATTTGTGTGTGTGTCTGTCTGTGTGTGTAACTGGTACTCCCAACATTATGGGGACCAAATGCCCCCACAAGGAGATAGTAATAATGTTTTGGTCCCCATGAGAAAAACAGCTTCTAGATCATACAAAATGAAGTTTTATGATCTGAAAATGTAAAAATGCAGACATTTTTCTGTGATGGATAAGTTTAGGGATAAGGTTAGTAGATATACTGTAATGTGTTTTTAAAGTATTCATTATGTCTAATGAAAGTCCCCATAAAACATGGAAACCTGTGTGTGTGCATGTGTGTATGTGTGCGTGCATATCTGAACATGTTAAGCAGGTGAATTGTTGAGTCTAGCCTTCAGCCCTCTTGACCTCATGAATATTACATCAGTGGACTGAGGGCATGCAGAAGATCAGATGAAATATTTACTACCACCTCCACCTCCTCTCTTGTTTTAGACTAGTGTTGTTCCAAATGATGAACCGCTGTATAAATTAGCAGGCATTTATGTGCACATTAACCCTCAAATTCAAGTACATTCAGAAAATTATTAATACATATAGGCCTACCTCAGATTGCCCATATGCAAAATATGTTGATTAGGATCGAATAGAAAATAATGCAATTGAATTTTGCTATATTTTGGTATTTTATTCATTACTTATCATACGGACCTTGCCAATTAAAGAACAGGATTCATAACCTCTGCACTGAATTTATATATATTAAAACACAACTGGCTGTGACTGTGACTGTGCTGCACAGAGGAACACTGTTTGTAGGAAACTGCACATACTACTTATCACCAGCCATTAGTTTGCTTGCACACTAACCACATATACAGCATTATAAACTAAAGGTAAACAAAAGGTTTTTTTTTCTGTTTTTCTTTTTTTCACACAATTCATGAAAGAAAAGTTAAGGAATACCGAAGGGCTAGGGCCAAAAAAAATAAAAAAATAGGATAGGTTGGAGGGTGGGTCACTGTAAAGGAGCTGTAGGCCTATTCATAAATAAAACCATAATTATGTAAACACAATGGTTGAGTTGTGTAAGGTCTATCTGGAAGAATTGAGGTTCATCTGGAGGTTTAAAAAATATTGATTTGTAAAAATGAACTGATATAATCAAGCCATTGTGCTGGGTTCTGTAATATATTTAAACAGCAGCTGAATTAAAAACAATATGGGTTGTTTTTGAACCAATTTTAGAAATTGTTACTTACTTTTCATCAACTTAAACAACATAGGCTAAATCTGTTTGACCGTTTGTAGATTTGTAGATTCGGTGAAAAAAGTCTATTGATGTTGATCATATTTATTTTAGTCAAAATTTGAAATATTAAATAAGTATTTTAGTCCTTTTTTGTCATTGGCCCATACAAATCAATGGGAAGTCCACTGTCTTTGAAGATTGGTGGCGCAGTGCTGCCACCTTGAGGGGATAATGAAGATACTGCAACGACAATTTGGATGAGAGACGTACATTAGCTATTCACTGTGCGCGTAGGACAGACTGAATACGGTGTGCTTTTAGTACGGATGATACGGTTTTTTTAATACGGAATTTTAAACCACTGAAATGCAGTGTTCATAATGTTTCTATGCGTTTTGAGATTTCTACCATCGAAGCAGTGACGGAAGACCGAAACATTAATGTGAGCTGAAGGTAACCCAGGCGACTGACTTCTGCATCAGTACCCGTATTTCCGTATTAACACTCTATCTCCTTCAATTACAGGGCAACTCGTGCTGAAATCTCCTAACCTGGCTCATAACACGGTAAATTTTAATTTTCTCAGTACCCAGCAATCAAATAAATAGGCAAGTGCTTGAATACGAGCGACGGGGGAGGAGCACATTCGTACTGGTGTGATGAGGACGGTCAGCTGATCACTGTCTGACATGGCTACAGTATGTAAATAGAATATAAATATATAGCTTTTTTGAGAGGCTTCAATTGTGCCATCCCAGAAATGCTACACACTGTAGTTTAGGGCTTAATATGGGATGTTCATGAAACCGAATGACTTTGCTCTATAATGTTGGTTTTGATATTTAAGGTTGACTGAATTGGTCATGGAATGGAGGTTCCTGCAGTAAACCAGAGCTTTACCCATCCACCACCGCAGCCATGGGCCGGACAGAGCCACAGGACCCCAACCATGCCTCCAGCCAGCTGTCCACCTCCTCCATATCACTACCCAAACCTTAACCCAGATCCCCGGAGTGCAGCAGTGAGCGTGACCCCGATGGCCAGTGCAACAGTTACCACAGGCCATCGGCCTCAGTCACTATTCTGGGACCCCTCACAGCAAAGCCACCAGGGTAAGCATCATTTTTATAAATATTTATTTTTTAATATATATTTTTACATTTCAATAATGTTTGATCTTCTCTTGTCACAGATGTGTTTAAGCCTGTTCCTGAGATCACAAACATGACGACTCAAGGGATGCCTCAGAGAAGCTACTCAGACTCATTACCAGTGAGAGCATGACAATGTAGGGGAGATTGGGGATACTGTACCACTTTATTTTTATTTTATAATTTAGTCATAACTCGCTTAGTAATTCAATTATTATACTCATCATACTGGTCAAAAGTTTGGAAACATTACTATTTTTAATGTTTTTGAAAGAAGTCTCTTAAAAATAGGAAAAAAAATATATATATATATTGTGAAATATTTGTACAATTTAAAATAATGGTTTCTATTTTAATATGCCTTAAAATATAATTTATTTCTGTGATGCAAAGATGAATTTCCATCGGCCATTACTCCAATCTTCAGTGTCACGTGATCTTTCAGAAAAATCTCCAATATGCTGATTTAATAGGCTACTCCGTTATTATCAAAGTTGGAAACAGTTGAGATGCTTAATATTTTTTTGGAACCTGTGATCATTTTTCAGGATGGATTTCAAATGAATTTTCACTTTTTTTTAGAATAATATGCATTTAAACCAAAATTATCACTGCAATTTTACATTGTATTAAAAAAAAATCTTCTAAGTAAAATATGTTGGACGGTGTTTAAGTAGATGCTTTTAAGATATATTAACATATATTTTTACATAATTAAATATTTTAAAATATAAGTGGAAAAACTAATTAATGTTTCTGCCAGCGACAGTGTAAGCGTCTGTTTAAACTTTTGTCACAAATTTAGAGCTTAATAAAAATATATGAATTGAATTAATTTTTAAAAAGGCATCATAACATAAGAACTTTTCTGGAATTTAAAAGAAATCACTTTAATTACTCAGTTTGAAAAAGAAAAGTTTCAATGTTTCAAAAGTTACAAATGGCTGAACAGTGTTAATAGTATAGCGTTGTATGTGGTTAAGGATATTTAGTATTACATTTGCACTGTTTTAATTGTCTCAGTCTCCTCTATTATAGAAGCTTCTTTACTGAAATTCCTGAAGGATCACTTTCATTTCCTTTCTTTTGTCAGACGAGTCCAGTGTCAAATTCTAAGCCAGAGTCTCGGTACGGCCTGGATCCTCAGCTTCTACCCAGTGTGGTAAATGAACTGTCCCTCTTATTCTGTGATGCTTCCTCCATCAAGACAGCTCAGGTTTGATCACACCACTGTTGTTTTGTCTCTGTATGTATCCTATGTCTCCTAAATGTACAGGTTCAGGTGATTAAAGAGGACAAGATCCAGTGGGAAGGGAAAGTGTTTGTTTCAGAGCCCAAATCCTCAGTTCCTCCTCTCTCCTCTACACAATGCACCTTGGAGGACAGAGGTACTGTCACTCCTGCCAAATATATCCACATCTTTTGACTTCATTCCCAAATTCACATAAAAAATAAATGTGATGCACCTGGTTTCCTTTCTTATCACAACAGCTTTTGTTGTATCTTTGTTGAATTTATATTGACTTTAACTTGCTTTCAGACAATGATGGAGCCAGACACACAAAGGTAACAAAAATATTGACAGCTGTTGCTCCTATAAACAGGCATTATAATCTCAAACACAGATGCTGTTTTTCAAGCACATTAATGATGGAGTCTTTCTGACACTAGGACAAACACGCAATGTGCTTTCCATTTCCATCACAGCTCTACTGTTCTTTTTTTAATTAGTCTGACTCTAAGTTATAATGAGTGATTATTAAATCCTTAAATTAGCTGTTTAGTATAATCATTATTATATTACTGAAGCACAGTAATAATAATAATAATTATTATTATTATATACTACTATTATGACTTCTAATACCAATGTTAATCGTTTAAATTAAAAACATTTAGTGTTGTTTGTCTCTGTTCGACCAAATACAACACCAAAAAGCATCACTGTCCATTTATATTTTAAAAAAGTTTCAATCTTTTTTTCTTCATTTTTTTTTTTTTTTTTTTGTAGAATTAGAAAAAAGTATTCAAATTTATATGGGGAAAATTAAATGATTTGAATTTGATTTTCAACCAGCTTTGTATTGTTACAGTGTCAGTAGTTTATGAACAATGTTCAATCTTTTTCCATGTTACCTGCACCGAGTTATCCATGTTTATTTCTGCAACTGTCCTAACTTAAGCCCTGTCAGAGCCAATAGCCTCATTTTTGGGCGACCCGATTTAGCCCAGTGCATTATGGGGGTTTAATTGAAACACCACAGCCCATTTTCTCAAGTCATGAAGCACCAATTTAAAGAAAAAAAAGATTCACTTTTATAAGTCATAAATGGCAAAATAGGCAGAAATTGTTATACTGTACATGATTACTTTTTAAAACCTACTCATTAACAAAACCTTTGGTTGTTATAAGTGAAAACAAGATTTTATTATTTTACAGCACAATGTATACTCACCTTTTTTTTTTTTTTTTGCTTCACAGGTAATGCAACATCTCGTTTTATCCGCTGTACGTCCTACAGCTTCCCTGTGGAGGCTCAGTCAGCTCAGAAGAGTCATCTCCCGTTGGGTGCAATCGTGTGTCCGCTGGCCAGCCCTGAGAGAGGACAAGTATGTATAGAAAAAAATGAAACCGAAAACATTTATTTAGTGGTGTTCAAAATGAATAAGATATCCTAAAGAAAATGTCACTTCTATTTGTCTTATTTGCCAGAATGTTGAGTTTGGGTTGATTTGAGTCATGCCACATTCACATGGTCCTCAGTGTTGCCCAGGTCACTTAAATACGACTCTTTTACATGTGTTTTGTGAATGTTTTCCACAGCGTGATGTGCCAGTGTGTGAGGCAGGAGATTGTGTTAAGGGCTGTGTGCACTGCGGGGCCTTCATGAGCCCTGCTATGAGCTGGCAGGACTGCGGACAAAGATTCTACTGTCCTTTCTGTGACAAACTCTCCGAAGGTATGTCTTGTTTGACCTACAGTCATTATCAGTTATCGGTTAAAGCTGTGCACAAATGTGCTCCAATCTTGGCTCAAACATGTGCTTTTCTCATAGTGTCATGGCGGTCCTATCAGCCCACTAATCAGGGCCGTCGCGTTGACTGGGAAAAAAAACCTGAGCTCAGTCTTGGCTCATATGAGATCCTGGAGAAACAGATGGTCAGCAATGGATTTGTTACATTCTACTTTAATTGTAATTTATTGTATTGTAATATGTTACTGCTTTTGCTCTGTTACACATCAGTATTTGAATGTTGTCGTGATCTCACACAAAGGAAAGGATATTTTGCAACAGGAGTTCAAAAAGTCATAGTCAGGATTAATACAAACCACTTGTTCAAAGCATGATCATGTATTATCAGATATATACAGTCAATAATATTTTTTTGTTTTTAAAGAAATTATTACATTTATTCTGCAAATGTATTAAATTGACATTTATAGCATTACAAAATATTTCTATTTGAAACGAATCCTGTTCTTTTGAACTTTCTTTTGAACAATTCTCCTGATAAAAAGTATGGTTTCATCAAAAATATTAAGCAGCACAACTGTTACACAACCAAATCAGCGTATTAGAATGATTTCTGAAGGATCATGTGACGCTGAGACCGGAGTAATGATGCTGAGAATTCAGATTTGCCATCATAGGAATAAATTACATTTTAAAATATATTAATACAAAGGAGTTTTTAAATTTTTATTTTAAATTGTGATAGTATTTCACAATATCACTGTTTTATTTATTTAATGCTCATGCAGCCTGCATGAGCATTAAAAACTCTCATCAAAAAATATCTTACCGAATTTTTTGACTTTTAAACAGTAATGCACATACAAAGTTTTATCTGACATATCCACATACATTTTTTCTTAGTTTATCATTTTCTTTTCTAAACAGGGTAAAGCTGCTGTGTTGCTGATGGCGATAGATATTTCTGCCAGTGCAATGAGAACGGGACAGCTAGACCACATTTGTCAGCAGATTAGTTCTCAATTGCAAGCTTTAAATGGGTAAGGGACATTAACATTTAAATTTTTCACCATCTAGTCCAGTAGTTTAAAATCTAGTCACTCTCTACATTTTAATTTACATTTAAACTCATTATGGAAGTAAAATGGCATGTGAATTTTGTCTCATTATTTTAGGCCCGATGAAACTGACCAATCAGCTCTTCGAGTGGGGTTGATGACCTATGACAGCCGGATCCATCTGTATAACCTGAGCCCAGCTCTGTCCCGCCCCCACATGATGGTCATCACTGACTGTGAGGAGCTGGAACTTCCTATGGTGGAGGGCCTTCTGGTGCCACTGAAAGACTGCATACACATAGCTGAGAGGTTTTCACATAGCAGTTGTTCTACTAATAAAGTGAAATGTTAATATGAAAGTCAAACATTAAAAAAAATGATACCTTCTTCTTGGACAGAGTTCTACAGGAAATTGTGCTTTTCAATCCTGAATCGGAAAACAGATCCAGTTCACAAGAGCTTCCTGTTTCTGCAGGACTGAAGATTCTTCAGGCAAGAGCGTTGACGTGATTCCTAAATACATGCTCATGCCCTTGCTGAAAAATTCAATGTTGGTGCAGCAAATGTTGTTTTATTAATCTCTCATCTCTCATTTCAATAGGCTGCTGGGTCCCCTGGCAAATTATTGATATTTCATTCCTCACCTTTTTCTGAAGGCACAAATCAGAAAAACTCCTCTGGATTCTTCAGCTCTAGCAAAGTGAAGGTGAATTAAAGAACATGCAATTATTATTAAAATCCATCTCATTAGTTTTGAGGTTTATCAAATAGTGTTTTCTTTCTCTGCTTGTTCTTGGTTTTATATCAGTCCATTTTCCAAGGACCCGATTCGTCGACTTCATTGGCTAAAGAGTGTGTCAATCAAGGCTGCTGCGTGCACATGTTTGTGTTCTCCCATCAAGAAGTGGGCGGAGCTTGGCCGGGGCACATTCCCTTTCTCACAGGGGGTGGGCTCATCTCCTATGACAGTCTACAGGTAATAAATGCCATGTGCACTTTGTTGACATCAACTACACCCTTGTGACCGATTATGTCAGAAGAAGCTTCTCTGAAAACCTTAGAGCCCAATTACTCTAAAACTGCGGCACAGATTTGAACGTTCCAAACAACCCAATGGCTGCCTCGAGAATTAGCCTGGAATGTCATAATGGTTGGTACTTGTTAAAAGTCTCTGCTGCTACAAAGTTTTTTAGAGGCCAATAACCGGGAAGAAAGTGTGCCGCTAGGGTTTCTGGGCTCAATAGTTTACTGCTCCAAGAGGACAATTAGTGCAGTTAGTGTACTTTTGTATTAAATGTAAAATGTCTGCCAAATGACAAGTAACCAGATAATACAGATTTAAGATTCACTGGAAATGTCTTGAATCATCAAGCTCTTTCCTATAGAAATCCTAGTTATCTTTGATTATAGTATTTTTAATACTGTATATAGTGTATAGTACACAGTATTATACTCTTGTTTATTATAATTCCTATTTGTAATGTGATATTTTTACATTGTTATATATTCTCTTATCTCTTTGTTTCTATATTTCTTTTTTTTCTCATAAACAAATCAAGTATTCATGTTTAGGTTTTCTAAAACATTTACAGTATGTGCTTTTGACGTTCACATTTAAATGTGAAAGTGAATCCTTAAAATCATAATTATATGTATGTATGGAATAAATGAGTCAATACCAAAGCTGGATTTATTAAAATACAGTAAAAGTATTAATTTCTTGATAAAATGAATAACCTTATAAATGGTTGTGTAAGTGTACCTCAATTTCTGTAACTTTCTAGTATCTCTTACAACCTGCCAGTGACTAAAAGTGTGTGGCATCACTGTGCTAGCAACTAGTCATTCAGTTTGGTTCTGTACACTATGCAGACTGTACACTGTATTTACAGTTATCACCACCTGGATTTTTCTTGGTCAGAATGCAGTTGGCACTCCTGTAAATAACTAAACTGTGTGAAGAGAACACGATTAATCAATCGGAAGAGTAGTGACAACCATATTTAATGCAGTGTGAACATGCCCAAACTGTGTCATTTCATAAATCTTTCCGTGTACTTTTCTTTTGCAGTCAGAGATGGAACAGGAACGCTTCCGAACTGATCTGAGCAGATGTGTGAACATGCAGATGGCCTTCAAAGTTCAACTCAGAGTTTTTGTCAGTAAAGGTAACCAAAGGGGCATATAATAGTATCTAGAGACCCAGATTCCAAGACAGAGAGGAACTGTGTGAACAACTAAATGTAATTTAGACTGTAGTTTTGTACAGGATCCAATCATTTGAATACTTGATAGTCACAATTGCATGAATTTCAGATGTAATTCATAAATAGCTGGTGGGTCTCTTAACATCTCAATCGCCATTTCTCTGCAGAGATGCGCATATCTGGTTGCTATGGCTCCATCATCGCCGGTCCCGACTCCTGCTGTGTTTCCATAGCAGCGTTTGATTGCCGCTCAGCTCTGGCATTTGAGTTCACTCACAACAAATCTTTGGATGAAACAAGGGGTGTAGCTATACAGGTTGGATTGATGGAATGTCATTGGATAGATCATATGGTGTTTTCACACTTGGCCATTTTTAGTCTGAGTGCAGTTCGAGTGAATTTTGGCCCATATGTGAACACTCCAAACAATCTCAGACCCCTTAAAACCCCTTGGTCTCAATACAGTTCGCTTTCAGATAACGGTACGGTTGGCTAAAAAGTCCATTGTGAACACATATCAGTCCGGGCTCACTTGATTTTTCCATTTGCAAATTCCAGTGTAGTTTCTAGTTTGATCATCAGTACAAATTCACTGTTCATTCACTGCTGTGTCTCTGTACAAATTCACTGTTCAGTATTATTTTAAAATTATTAATTCACAATGTACACTTCGACAGCTTCTAAACAGTTTAAGAGACCCCTGAAAAGGACCAAGTATGAAAACACCCTTAATATAATATACTTACTGTATCTGAGAGTTGTGGATATGATAAATAATTTGGTGTGTTGTTCAACTGTTATATTTATTGTTATTCATTTGTTTCATCCCCTTTTCAGTTTGTGCTGTCATACATTAGTTCCTCTGGAGAGAACAGGACTCGGATACACACCGTAATTCTGTCCGCTTCCCATCAACTGCTGGATACCTTTAGAAGCACCCAAGCTGAGACGCTCCTCACATTCTACTGCAAGAAAAGTATAAAAACAGTGTTTGCTGTGACTAATCTGCCTACAAAATTCTTAAACTCCCCTGTAGTCAATCATTTTATCCCTTAAAACTTATCTTTGATCACCAAAATTATATATTTAAATGTTTTTTCCTGTGAAAAAAAAATGATTCATGCCTTAAAATAGCTTGAGTGTAACTCTACACCCTTGCTTCATTTAATATATGCAGGTCAATGAATATGCAAATTAGTCCCACCTCCACTCACTCACACTAGTTTAGAGATCCACTCGGTCAACTTCAGCCAAGTTACTGTAGTAAATTCTGCGCAATGGTATCGCTCTTTACAAGGTTGGACACATGACAGTTAATAATATGATTAGCCTTTTGCTTGACTGTTATATGACAGGTAATAATGTGTTGCTAATGTTTCACAAACCATGTCAGACAGTATCCTTAGAAACGCTTTGAATGACAGTGAGAAAGGCATATAGTTCATCATAACACCATAATATACATAATTTCCCAGCTACATTGCTTGAAGTACCCAATTTCCATTTCATCAGAATAATAAACCGGGATAATCTGGATTCTCTTGAGACTCCACTGCTTTGAGACTCCAGAATTTTTTACAAGGTAGTTTGTGACATATGACACCAGGGATTTCAAACCTTGTTTTATGGAGAAAATACTCAGCAATAGTGCTGACTTATGAATTTATTGGGGTCAAAATTGTTTGTTTTTTTAAAGAAATAATACTTTTATTCAGTAAGGATGCATTAAATTGAAAGACTGACAAAAAGGCATAAAAATAAGATTAAAAAAAATCAAACTTTGTTCATCAAAAAAAATTAAATAAATAAATATCACAGTTTCACCGAAAATGTTAAGCAGCACATCTGTTTTCAACATTGATAATAATAAGAAATGTTTCTTGAGCAGCAAATCGGCATAATATAGTGATTTCTGAAGGATCATGTGACACTGAAGACTGAAGTAATGATGCTGAAAATTCAGCTTTGACTTCACAGGAATAAATTACATTTTAAAATATATTAAAATGTAATACTGGCAGTTTTTTAAATTCTTAAAATATTTCACAATATTATAGTTTTTACTGTATTTTTTTTTATTTTATTTTTTTACTAACTCCGAAATTTTGAACAGTAGTGTATGAAATGATTCATAATACATGAATATCGTATAGAAATTCACTTTATAGATAAATTAGCCATGTGTAATCAATTTTTATTTTCACAAAGCCCAGTCTTCTTGATTCTAATTGAATTTGGTTAACTTTATTTTGTCAATGTGTGTGTGAGTCAGTGTATTCGTTAGCACTGGAGATTCCACTGCAGACCCTGCGGGAGGAGTTACAGACGGAGGTTACTGAGATGCTGGCTTGCTTTAGGAAACACAGCTGCACATCCTCTGTGTCCCCAGGACAGGTTAGTTATTCACATATTTCACATATTATCTGTTTCATAAGTTACTGGACCAACACATCTCTAGAGATCTATTATACACTTTCAGATTGAGCAATATTTTTTGTCAAATATTAAACCATGATATGTGATACCAATAAAAAAAAAACAAGCTCCTGCTGTTTTCATTCCAATTTTTGGAATGTTTGCTTAAACGAATGGTCACCTTTTTTGTCACATTGTCTTTTTTGTGTAGTTACAGCTTAATCAGATATTTTAGACCCATGAAGTCTTCTTCTTTTTTTGTGTGTGTGTTTAGGAGATGACAGACAGTCTTCTATACTGTTATATTCTTACTCAATTAACTTTACCATTCATTAAGCCTTATTACTGGTGAAGGCACAGACACTATTACTGAGAAGCCATTCTAAGTGAATCCTATTTCATTTGGATAATGGAGTCTTGAATGTCATTCTCATCTCTCTGTGTGTCTTTTTTTTTTCTGTCAGCTGGTGATTCCTCAGTTTCTGAAAGCCGTACCTGCCTACATTAACAGTCTGCGTAAGAGTGAAGTGCTGCTGCCTGGGCTGCGTAGCTCTGTACATCAGCGTCTACAACTGCGTAGCCTCATTGTCTCCATGGACACGCGGAGCACTGCTTCTCAGTTCTACCCACTTATTCTGCCTTTGGTGAGAGACAGACATCTAGAACATTCTGTTCATCCAAATTAGTCAGGGAAATGAGACCGTTTCCTTGTCTGTAAGAATTTGTAATTCTCAGTTGGATCATTATGCACATGGCGGGATTTAGAGATGTCACACTCTTCACGGCACTAGGAATAAATCAATAAATCTACTGTACTCCCTCCCTCTTTCTCTATTTATAGCATTTCTTGCTTATTTCTGGCACCAAAGACAGTTTTAATTGGTTATGCACAATATATTAGTACCTTTTTAATGTTAACTGATATAGATTTCTTGCAATTTATCAGTATAACTTATCAATAAACTGTATGATCGCTATTGGATTTATAGCCAATATTGTATATTTAATTGTACATTTGTACTTTTAAATTACCTTTGCTGTCATCTAATGCTCAACTTAAAGGTGCAGTAAGTCATTTCTGAGAAACGCTTTTGAAAGTAGATCACCACAACACTGTCCAATTATGATGGTGGAGGCGAGAAAGCAAGAAAGAGACTGTAGAAAGGGAGATGGCTGAGAGACATTACAAAAGAGAAAAGAACGGTACACGCTCAAACGGCTAATTTTGCCCACAACCCATTGCGCATTGGACGAAAATTCGAGTAAGACTACAAAGTGTTTAAAAACTGCAAACACGGCTGATATGCAAGTCTGTAGAGTGTAGAGAGGTTTAGATAAAGGGGTTTGTGTGATTAATATTCAGTATCTAACAAGAGTAAAACTATACCTATAAGAGCACTTTTTGTAGAACAATTCTATAATAAATGTTCTTGTTGGGCTAAAATGGGAACTTTGTGCCATGAAAGTTTGTCTGCATATATTACCTGTCAAAAGAAAAAAGAAAAAGACCTTTGCTAAGGTCTACTGAAGTATATCAAACTTTAAAAAGCAAGCAAAAGCCATGTCACATTTATATCCAAAACAAACTTCCACCTAAAATATTAATGCTTTCACTCCCGAAGTATGATGACGCCAAAGTCTCTGTGTTTTCTCTTCTCACCCCTGCAGTCTGTCTCTGCTGATAATGCCAACATGCCATCATTAGGGGAAGCCGTGCGCTGCACTGTGTCTAGTCTGGATCCAGGGGGTCTGTATCTGATCTACTGCCCACTGGCACTGCTCCTTTGGGTGGGCAGCTGTGTGCCTCCTCATACTCTTCTACAGCTTTTCAATACCAGCTCCTTCTCCTACCTCACATCTGGAGAGGTGAGAAAAGGACATGTTGAGTCTGGAGGAGAATCTGAATGAAAGAAGTCTTTCTTGCTCACCAAGTCTATTATTGGCACCAAATTTTTATTGTATTTTAATATATTTTAAAATGATATTTATTCCTGTGATGGCAAATCTGGATTTTCAGCATCATGACTCCAGTCATCAGTGTCACATGATCCATGATTTTTTTCAGAATTCTTTTATGAATAGAAAGTTCAAAAGAACAGCATTTATTTGAAATATAAATATTTTGAAGCATTATAGTAAATGTATTTATTTTCACTTTTGAGAAATTAAATGCATCCTTGCTGAATAAAAGTATTAGTAACCTTTTAAAATGTGTATGGTCCTAAACTTTTACACAGTTGTGTGTAATGTTGGTTGGGTTTAAGTGAAAATCAGTTCAGTTCACTTTGAGTGACAGATTTTTATAAGTCAAAATATAATATATAAATATATTATATATACAAAATATATAAATATATGCAAAAAATATATGCAGAAATATATCATCTCGATTCATTTGCTATTAGAAAAAAAATTAACGCTTTCAAGCAATATGAGCCAACAATGACCAGCTGGATTTTTTATTAAATAACATTTACAAAGATTAATAAACACTGTAAGAAATGTATTGCTCATTGTTATCATTAGTAACTAATGTTAACTTATGAACCTTATAGACCTTATTCAGAGCAGCGCCATGACAGGTATGAAAGTGAGGCTGTGAGGGATAGATGTACCGTGTTTTCAATGGCATCCGCTGTAAAAAGCTGAATAAAGCAGCTAGATGACTTACAATTTTCCACAGCTTACATTGTCGGGAGTTTTTTGTCAACTGACATTTCTTGGAAAGACATTTTTCCAGTGTTTCATGAGCAGAACAATCCGAAAACACATTAAATAACAGTACAGCCCATTGAAGAGATGTATGATTATCCCTCACAGCCTCGCTTTCATTCTCATTAAAAATCAAAGATGGCGCTGCCGTGAATAAGGCGTATTGTAAAGTAAAGTTTGTTTTGTAGTAATTTAACAAGAATTAGTGAAAAGTTTAAAGTGGTTTTAGGTGTAGTACAGCATGTCTCGCCTTAGGACACACTTGTGATTTTGAGTGCTTTGACTTCACTTTAGTGTTGTACATGTGTGTGTGTCGTATGTTCTCTGTAGATCAATCTTCCAGTGCTTGAGAACTCCCTCTCCATCAGCACCAGAGCTCTCGTATGCGCTCTGCAGTCTTCGGCAGCTGTTACTCTCCAGGTGAATGACTCACACCACTCATTTGCAGAATGTTTCTTTCAGAAACTGACAGGATGTTGACACAGAATTAATTTATTGCGACTAAAAAATCGGCACAGCTAAAACCAGTTTTCCTTACACTTTCAATTGTGGCTTTGAAATATGTTTAATTGTGTTCATAGTTGATTTATATAGTTGTATATAGTTTATATATATATATATATTATATAGTTTGATTTATATAAAGTGTGTTTCTTTCTGTTCAGCTGAAATTGGTCCGCGAGGGCTGTGAGGAGGAGTCTCTGCAGCGCCTCCTGGTGGAAGACAAGAGTCCTAACGGTGGAGCTTCATACGCTGATTTCCTTTTTCATCTTCATGTCAATGCATTGCGTCTTATTGTTTGACAGTCTCTTGTTATGGCCAAGGCTGTCTTGTCTTGGAATATTTGTAATGCATTTTGTGATAGTTCAGCTCCACTGCTACCTTTTACCTAGCCATTGCTGCCATTCTTAAATCAATGAGAAACATGAATTCTGTCTTCAATCATTTACCTCTGAAATACCTACATTTTTTTGAGTGTAGTAAAGTCACATTCATTATGACCAAGAGAAACGGCGAATACTAAGACTAGTCCTTTAATTTTCAAGGGCTCAGAATGACTGAATACTGTTTGAACTCCTATCAAAGACTCAGTGATTAATTATTCTGTATTTCAAGTGTGGTTTATTATTTATATTTATTATTGCTCTTGAGTCATGAATTTTGCACTCTGAATTAAATTCATGAATTTGACCAACTGGCGGTGAGTTAGAATGTACATATTAATATTTTAAGCAATAATATATTCATTGAATTTTTGTTTTTGTTGCAGCTGAATATTTAATTTTTGATTTTGTCACTGATATTTTTATATGGGCCACCAGCATGTGATCCTAACATTACAGTTTTTTTTTTTTTTTTGGTCAAGTAAGTTTTATATTTGACGACAATAAAAAAAGATACATTTACAATCATACAGATGCCTCTTTCCAATAATTAAAAACATAAACAAACCATTCTATACCCGTCCTGTTTACATTGACTTGAAAAGGCATAATGAAGAAATGTTAAAATGTTACATTAACAAAATGATGCGTTAATCCACATGGTTTCCATCAAGATGCCAGATTTTGTCAAACTGCTCAAATTTTCCCTTCAAACAGTATCTATTTTGTTCCAAATGTAAAGTAAAAGACATCTCTCCAAGCCATAACTTGATTATAACCTTTTTCTTCCAGAACAACAGGAGTAACTTCTTGGGGGGCGCGCCCCCCGGGATAGATGCACTGGCCCACCCATGACTCAACGTACTGATATGCTTTTCCTCCCCTGTGCCTGATAATTCCCACACTGGCCAGGGCGAGTGATCGGGCCTCTCTCTCATTCTGATAGCACCCAGGTGGCCCAAAGCACTATGATTGACAGAGGTGATCCCTCTGTTATATGGCTAACCGTGGCACGTCACAAGCGAACAGGGAGATTTATCACCCACATCTGGACAGGGTGGGTCTCTGGGCCTGGCCCGTAAGAGGACGAACCTAAGCGCACTAGGGCTTCCCCCATGTGTGGTTGCTACTACACAGAATGCCTGGCCCTTGTATGGCTGTAAGTGACAAGTGTTCGAAGGGTGGTGTGTTGGGCATGGTCTCACATCATATCAGTGCACAGTTCCTGATGTTTTGTGTTTCCTTCAAGACCTTATGGATAAGAGCAGGTCCTTTTTCACGATTAAGGTCTACATGGCATCGATTTCTGCTTGTAATAGGTTTTGAGGGCTCAACGGCACGATCACCACCTGCTTTAAATGTCCCACTTCTTGTTCAAGCTTGGTTACTGTATCCGAAGAAGTGGAAGCTTTAGTTTCCAAGCTTGCATGTTTAGAATCATGCTCATCCACTGTGATTTCGCAGAACAGCCGAAAAATCGCTGAACTTACTTAATGTTGTAATGCCGTTATCTCTCCTCGTTTGATAGCAAGGTTTTCTACCTATATCCGCTTTGATTGAGCGCATTTGATTGAGCGCATATTCTGTTGCAGAGTCCGAGGTGGACACGGCCTGAATCTGATCCACATCTTTACGACGTTTGGCTGGCATGTTTAACTACGAATATCCCAGATCAACAATACTGAAAAATAAATTATAATCAAAACTCTGTTAACAGTAAAGATTATTAAAATATCTGACTGTAATATTATTTGGATAATATTAATGCGGAGATGTCGTAGAATGCTCAGTATTTTCTCCAGTATTTTTTAGCATTTTCTACAGTTTTAAATAATTTATTTGTTTTGTTTGAAGAAAATACTTTTCTCTCCAAAAATGAATAAATAAGTGTAAATTTGTGCTTGGCCCGGAATCATTCTCGGCTGAATCTCTTTAGCATTGATCTTCTTTCCAATGTATGTTCTTGTGAATATCTGCTCCTCCCCCACAGAGAGCTGAAAAAGCGCTAGAAACACTCATAATGAGTCAGATACCAAATCTAATTAGTATAATTGGGTTTAATGATGTTGACATTAAGCTGAATATGTAATATCCGAGTGGGTGTCCATGTTTTTTTATCTAATGGTTGAAAATACATACACACACATCCAAATGAGCATGTGTAATGGGTAAGCATGATGGAACCATTAGCCAAAACAAAATTTTAATGCATTTGGCCATTTTAATAATAACAGAATGAGTAGAATTGAAGGCACAAGATGATGACTTTGTGTACTGCATTTACATCTGAAAGGTCAGAGGAAGCCAACAAAAAGCATGTCAGTCAACACCCATTCAAAATAATAACCTGTGGAAAGAGCATTTATTCAAGTATCCTTGTGCATGCAAAAGACAGCATTTAATCCGATCTGTCATGCACATAAGATTAATAATAATATTACATTTTATTTGTAAAGTGACTTACACAATGAAGCTCAAAGTGTTTCACAAATTAGGCTACTACAGAATAAATAAAATACAATTCAGTGTTTATATACGAATTTCGAAACGCTAAAAATGCCTACATTAATTGTTTGTATCATGTATTTAATATTTTATTTTCGTCTATCTTCGGTGCCTTTTTTGAGTCAGTGTTTCTTTTTCTTTACAGGACACTTTCACGATTACGTAAGAGCTCATAGAAATACAAATAGCCCCCCTCATGGTTTGCCCCTATTTGGAGTTACAATAACAGTAAACCAGCAGCGCGCCCACGCACGCCAGTTCTGCTGTCCGCCGACAGGTGGCGAGAGTGAGTCAGCTGTCAGCGCGTTCTCGCAGTCTATTTTGAAGGCAGGCGATTGGAGCAAAGCGCGGGGGTGAGGACGCCCGCTGTCAGCATACACGCTACCCAACATACCATTAACCTGTCATTTCAAGACATATCAGGCTTTTTTTGAGCGCAATATCGAGGTGAATATCCCGGACGCTCTAGCTCGCCGAATCTAGGACATTTTTAATTTTTAAAGCGTGTCCGAGTCCGTGACGGGAAGACATGGCCACGACTACATGTACGCGCTTCACGGATGAATATCAGCTGTACGAGGAGCTGGGCAAGTGAGTATCACGCGGTTAACGATTGTGCATGTGTGGAACTGTCCTGCACGAACATTGCATGGTGATATTTTTGGGGTTGGGAGAGCAAACCGACAGCAGACTCGAGGCGTGGTGGTGCCCCGATAAACGTGCTGTCACAGAGGGAGGAGATAATGTTAGATACAAGCAAGTCCTGCCAAGAGATCCGTTGACCTGACCATCACTCAGACCCTTAGAAATGTTGATTAAGTTAGTGCAGTGCAAGCTGATTTTTCATGTTCAAATGTAAAAGTAAAACTGGGTTGTATTTGACATAAGTTACTTTAATAACATGATGCTTTATCTGAACTGATTGAAGTTTTTTTTTTTTTTCCCATCAGCACATCAGTAACCGGATGGCAAAAATATCAACAAATAAAACGTTCTGGAAATATGTTTGCGACTTGACTCTATGTCATTAGTAATACAGACAGTATTACTAATGACATACAGTCAAGTCATAATACATGCAGTAACAGATTCGAAATGGCATTTTATTCAAGCTTTTTTTGCCAAGATGTGCAATTAAAGGGATAGCTCACCTAAAAGTGAAAATTGAGTGGTTTAGCCATAAAATGCATAGAGATACGATCGCTTTATATGATGAACAGGCTGAATTTAGGCTTTTATTCACATATATATTTGCACACATCAGTTATAGTAAACTGAAGCTGTTCGCTTGACATGCGAGAACAAAATTAAGAACAAATAAAAGAAAAATTAAAGCGACAGTCCGTAGTTTTTGCGTCATTACGTCACATACACATAAAGAAGGAGTCTCGGCTAGTAGGCTATATCATTACGTCACATCTGTACACACACATCTGTAAACATAAAGGTTGGTAGACGATATTGAGTGAAAGGGTGCTGGAGGTGGAGATTTATAGCCTTTTCTCACAGCATTTGACTAAAGTTATTAATTTGATTGCGGATCCAGAAAGGTTAAAACGACAATCACCAGTGACAACTAGAGATTCACTCGCTGTAAAATGCAAAAGACTTTGTTCGGACTTCGGAGTGGCTACTGAAAAAAAGAGACTGCAACCAGACCCATGCGAAAACAAGGTATCCTATTGGAAGACATTACATGTAGTCACGCAATGCTAACATTGTTAACATGAACAATTTGAGAACAAAGTATAATTTGTTCGGTTTTGCATGATTTGATAAGCGATTGTTTTAATCAGCGCGATTTACTGCAATGTCTGACACATTGCAGTAAAACGTTGTGTTCATCCGTGCTGTGCAGTGTCGAAGTACAGCTCACGTAAAGTTGATAATTCCATGAATGACTGCAATTGCAGATTTCGAACAGAGATGGCGACAAAGAGGGAAAACTGTGGCTTGCAGCTTTAAGTTATTCTTGTGTGAAGCATGTTTGGTTGAGCTTCTGTTTTTATTCTGATCAATGTTTATATGTGAATAATAAGCCTAAATAAAATCTGTTAATCATATAGCGACTAAATTATCCCTTTAAATTCGAATTTAAAGATTGTATACTGCAAATTCAAAATATATATATATATAAAAAAAATAACTTTTATGTGCTAAAATATACTATTTTATGAGGTCAATGTTCATGGGCTGCATCAAACTAATAACTAAATTGATTAATGTTATACTGTTATTAATAAAACATTCAAATAGAAGAATATAATAAAGATCAATATGTGGTAAGATATGGCTTTGTTGAAATGTTTTTGCACATGTAATAAATTAATCCACTCTGGAATTTCAAAGAACCGTTTTAAAATAACGATTCTATCAGGCTTAATAAAAGGAAAATGACTTTCCATCTCTACTATGATGATCTCTCTCAAATCAGCATATTATTATTTATTATTACTGCGTATAACATTTATTCAGAAAAGTCATTCTTCGCAAGGCTGGTTTAGCAGACACACGCACATTGTTTATGTGCAGAAATAGTTGCTTTAATCTGAGTTTGGACAGTGCATGGGTGCTTTGTGTGTGTGTAAGAGCATAGCAGCCCAGGTTTGACCATCTCTTTAGTTTAAACTACCCATTAGTCGACTTTTGAATTTCACAGTTTCCGATATGGGATTGAATTTAGAGGTAATGTAAATCCCCTCTGGGAATCAGTATTGCATGAACAATGAATGGGGAGGCAGGAAGAGAAAATGAACAGCAACGATGATGAGACGAGACATAGTGATGCTTTCACAGATCTGAAGGGGCAGGAGCATTTGATGGGGGTCTTGTCACCCCTCGGGCCTGAGGTTTAGCAGAAAACAAATGTCAATTTTGTGCTCAAACCAGCGGAAATATGCAGATCGTTAAACGTGACCTCTGGCAGCCCATTGCAGTACACAATCACTTGTGACCTGTGTGTTTGTCTCTCTTTTTTTACCCAGTACCTCCAGTCATCCCAGTAATGTAGAGAGAGGTGGAGGTGGAACTAGAGTCTTTGTGTCACATTGACCCAAAGCCCCCCCCCACACACACACACAAACACAAACACACATCCAGCCCTTATAAATCACTAAGGTCTTGAACTGTCCTGACAAAAACAGGTTTCATTGATAATGATAACTCTGGCATGTTAAATTCATTGATGATATAACATTTGAAAAGAAATATTATTTGTTAATTAGTTATTTACTGTTAGTTACTATTAGCCTACTGTTTTTCTTAAATACTAGATTTTTTAACGTTTACAGCAAAACATAAGTTTTGTTAATATTTTTAATTATTATTCATTTATTTATTTATTTTTAATTTGTAAAATTAGTATTTTTATTACTGACTGAAAATGTTAAAATCAACCCATGTATGATAAACTTTGCCATAATAACATATGTTGAGTGTGCTGACATGCAAACCTGCTATACCACAGTGTTTGCGTTATTGCGTAAATGTAGACGTTTTTTAAGGCCCAGACTTCATTATGATTATGATTTTCTGACTCAGCAAGTTGTTTGAACTTATCAAGACAAACCTACTGTACTATATTTTATTCATGCAACACAAACCCAGTCGAGTATATTTTATTAATACAGGCTTCCAGAATTAGTTCTCGTTTTAGTGACGTCAGCCTTCACAGTCGAACAGCCACTGCTGCAAAAGAGTTCGACAGCGTGATGTAAGGACATTTACGATAAAGAAATAAACTGCTGTGTCTAACAAGGAGGGCCATAATTTCACTCTTTGCTTCTGTTTTTTTCCCTCCTGAAAGAGTAAAAACAAACCCCAAACAAGCTGCCAGGGTTTAAGGCAGTCTTTTTGATGTTTTGCCTTTTAATTTTTATACAGCAGTAAATTCACTGTCAAGACGTAGCATTATTATGGCAGTTCTGCTATTGTACTGTCAGAACCTTATACTTATATTCTCAATAATTTTTTTTCCCTCCAGGGGAGCTTTTTCAGTGGTGCGACGATGTGTGAAGTTGAGCACAGGCCAAGAATATGCCGCCAAAATCATCAACACCAAAAAACTGTCCGCGAGAGGTGAGTCAATGATGGGTGAATGCAACAGATGGGTTTTAATTCTAGGAACAATTTTACAACTAAGTGTGAATAGGGTTGCAAACGGGCAAAATATTTATTTTGTAATTTTCCATGGGAGGATAAGCTGGGGAATTTGGGAAATATTCCAAGTTGGAAACTTAATGGGAATTTACAGGAAGTATTTGGACATTTAAGATTGGAAATTTAACTGTATCAGATACAAATATATATATATATATATATATATATATATATATTAATTTGCGTGCATGTCTACTTACGACCAAACAAAATGTGTATGTATATATATATATATATATATATATATATATATATATAAACATTTTGTTTGGTTGTAAGTTGATATGCATGCAAATGAATATATTATTAATATTTAAAAAAAAAAAACTTTCATTTGTTCGTGAGTCCGATACTGTCATTGACCAAAAAGTATGAATGTTGAATAAGCAATTCCCAATGAAATATGGGAATATGGCTAACCTCCGATTTTTCAAATTTCCAGGTGATTCCCATTTATTTCCATATATTCCCGTTAATTTCCATAGAAAGTTTTTTGCAGCCCTAAGTGTGAACATATACAACATTTAAAGTCACAATATAGTGGAAGCTGCAAAATGTCATTGTGACAAACATCCAAGAGAAACAGATTATTGAAAAATACATGTTTTTAGGACAGGGACTTTTCTCCATCAGTTTCTATCCATTTCGATTAAAAAAGTACGAGGTCAACAAAAAACGTGGAATATTAAAATGTGCTTGAATGGATGAATTGTTCATAATATGATAATTGAGGTAATATGATAATTTTAGATAATAGATGATGTATTTCCAATTTTAATGCCAACTTGTGGCAGCACCCTATTAAAGACTATAGAATAACACTTAAACATCTTAAAGGGACTTTGACCATATGTAGTGATGTACTTTGAGGTACTTTGATATGATATATTGTACTGAATAATTAACATTTTAATGTACTGCAGTATTGACATAGCGCATATTTCGAAAGATATCATGGTACCACGTCCAAAAAACCTTGTCAGTACCAAATTGTAAACGCTCAGAAATACAATCCTAGTACGTTCAACGGACATTTAAAATTCCACAGCATGCTGAAAACTTACTGTCATTGCCAAAGGTATATTCAAACCCCATGTCAATGAGAGAGAAACTATACCAGTGAAATGACAGATTTTCAGTTTTTACGACATCCCGCTGTTGACTGAGGGGTATGAATCTTTTTACACCCTTCTGTCCTCCCTTCTGAAACTTGAAGCCAGCAGTTGCTTTTCCAAAGTGTCATCCTCATCGTGTCCTCCATTGGCTGTGTGGTCATTGTGGCGAGAATGTGTAATGTGGAGAACAAGCACTTGACATGTATTTGATTCCACAGACGCTGAAAACCATTTAAAAATAGGCCCAATAACCTTCTAAATACAGCTCGTGTGGAGAAACGCACTGCTGTCTAATTGTGTGCTTAGAGGAAATCAAATCAAGGTTGGGAATGTAGAATTAATTAATTTTTTTTGAAGGAAAGTCATCTTTGTCAATATGGCTTTGGATTGTTATCTTTCTTAATGATAACACTTTAATAACATCATAAAACCAGGTCATATTTTATCACCAAATCATAAAAATAATAAACAACAAACCTAATTATTTGTGTGTGTGTTTTTATATACACTAACTTTAAAAAAGTTTGGGGTTGGTAAGTTTTAAAAATATTAAAGTGTCACCTATTGAATTAATTTGGTACAGTCCAGTAAAAATACAGGTAAAAACATAAAATTGTGAAATATTATTATAATTTAAAATCACTGTTTTAACTCTATTCCAATATATTGATTTCGTGTGCTTTTCTTCTTATTTTTTCTTATTTTCAATATTGACATTCCCGACAGGTCAACCTAGCCCTTTTATTGTAGATTTGTGTTATTGTAGCATATTGTCACAAAAAGCAAGTGAAGGATGACAAAAGAAGGTGCTGCGGTGGGTCATGTAGATGAGGAGTGACTGTCTTTAGGCTGAGAGTTACTCTGAGGAGAGAGAAACAATATGATCCGTCAAGGGGTTAGAAGGAGGATGGGCATGAGAGAGGAAATGTGACCTAGATATACAGAAAGAGAATGAGTGGGAGAGAGAGTGAAGGAATCATCATGAATGACTTGGAGAGAAAGACACATAAAGAGAGGGCTGACAGTGAAGGCACCTTTGGCACTTGGCAGCTGTGTGTGTATGTGTGTGTGCGCGTGCATAAGAGAGGGAGTAGTTACATGCCTGGAGCACGAGACTCTCATCTGATCCAGAGAGATGGTCATGACCCTTGCAAAATGCACAAATATGTTCATGAGATGTGAATTGAAGTAAGACCCATCGCGTTATATGTTAATAATGGTCTAGTCGTCCAGCGATGAACTTATTATTATATATACTTATTACAGCGATGAGCCTATTCGTTTATCTTGACTTTTCCACAAGTAGTTTTTGTATTTTTAGCATGTCATTTTGCTTGTACATTTTGCACACTTTGCACTGTAGAATCGTCTTTAAGTTAGGCACAATAGTAGCGTTTTAAATTTCTTTCCCTTTAAACTAAGTATCACAGCTATATCCATACACATGCAGATGGCCGTAATCGTCTAAATCATGTTTCAATCATGTTGTTTTTTGAGACTATTGTCACTAGCGTTAAAGGAACACATCTTATGTAGACATGAGAAACATGTCAAATCAAGCTTCCTTAAAGTCAGATCTTTTGTGACGTACACACGAGTGAAACGAATTGTCGAAAAGAATAAATGTTGGGCGGTGACTTGGTTCAATCCGTCCATTGTTGATTGGATGGAGGCAGTTCTGTTGTTCACTGTAAGATAAATAACATGTAGCCTATAGTGGCACCCAGTTACTTCTAATTCTTCTGTACCACTTTTTGAAGTCAGTCTAACTACAACCAGCATTTGAAACACGAGCAAACAGAGGTCTTCCTTTTAAATGTTTACTTCCAAAACATAAAATTCTAAAAAATTTTGTACGCACGGTGTTGCTTCCAACGTCTCTAACTTCAAACTAAACATCGCTTACACTATGATGTAGTGCTATCTGACTAGAAGTTCAAAATACTGATATGTTATCAGATCTGAACATTAGCAAATCATGCATTTTAAACCAATACATTTCTTATGAATTTTCATGAATTTACTGTTTTTTACACTTAATTATTATTTCAGATGAACTAGTCCCTATGTGGCTCTTACATTACACATTTAGAAAGCAGCCATTTCATGCCAACTTTAAGACAAATTTCTTTGACTACATTTTGAATATTTATTTTTGCACATAAATAAACCGCCAAATCATCAAAATGTTTAATGGTAAATGGTAAATGGACTGCATTTATATAGCGCTTTCATAGACCTAATGGCCACCAAAGCGCTTTACATATTGCCTCACATTCACCCATTCACACACACATTCATACACCGACGGCGGTGTCAGCCATGCAAGGCGCCAGCCAGCTCGTCGGGAGCAGCTGGGGTTAGGTGTCTTGCTCATGGACACCTCGACACTTGGTCAGGTGGAACCGAGGATTGAACCACCAACCCTTCGGTTTGTGGACAACCCACATGAACCACTGAGCCACTGCCGTTTAACTAGCAAGACATCGCTTTCAGCTTGAAGTATAGATACTTGGTCTTGGATATGAAGAGTGTTGTGATGCAAAGTTTTTATTTAAATTTGATACAAAAAAATCATTTTAGTATAACTCTGAGAATGGCCAGCAGCTGAGCCTAAGGTCAATCAATGCACATCAGCGTCAGACAAAGGGGATGGGATTCCAGACCCGACTAATAGCCAATATTGTAGCCCATCTCAGTGATGGGGGTTAGTATGAGTAAGATGAGGCAGTGCCAAGCCATTAAATCATAAAATATGGCAAGGCTGAGAATAGGGACAACAAAATATTGAACAGCATATAAAGGTGGAATGTGATCAAATGGAAAAAAGGATGAGTGTTTTTGCATTACATAACAAAGGATCAATCCAAGTGTCATTTATCTTAAAGATGGCACAGGCACATTTTTTTAAGTAAAAGGTTTTTTTTTTTTTTTTTTTTTTTAGCAGAATAGATTGATATTTGTATCTATATAATATGTGAATGTGTATATAGATATTTGTGGTTGTCAAACAACAGTGAAGTCACCAGAAAAATGTTTCAATATGATGAAATTAGTTCTTGGAAAAGCAATCATTTATTTGCCACTTGGTTTGATATTTCATGCAATCATGCAATGACATTCATAAGACACTGTATATCCAACCTAGATTTTCTGAACTATAGTGAATCTGTAAATGTAATATTATATATTATATTTAATGTATATTTTTAGATTAATTGGTAATAAAATGAAACATTTATATTTAAAAAATGTATACCTTAATATTCATGTTTATTATAGTATTTGAATGGTCAACTAGTGGAATTTTTCATGACTATATCCTAACTGGTTATAAAACTTTCACTTACTACTTCAAAAAATTAGTTGTGAAATTTTGCAAACCTTAATGCCCAGCAGTGCAAGTTTGCAAATTATCCAAATTATCCCCCAGTTAGTGTTTCACAATATATACAGATACTAGAAACTGCTGTTAAAAACATTTTAACATTTAACGATTTAAATTGTTGATGTCGCCTTCAGCCGTGTCTGTCATTAAGGAAAGCTGATTTTTAATTGCATGTGTTGCTGTTGGCTTTAATTTCACTGATGCGTCTTGAGGCATTTTCTGCTGCAATCAGTTTGGTGAGACATTAGGCAGCCTTTTACTGAGTGAATCATTACACTTAAGAGACATACGTTTTGTATTGCCCTTATCCATCTGGGGCTTGATGGGGTTTTAGTGCTGTTTCTGTTGATTCTGTTGATTTCTCAAGCATGGAGCATTTATTCCATTTTCAGTAGCACATCATCATCATTAGCGTCCTCATTATTGTAAGCATTATCTTAGGCAGTGCGTTCTGTGTCCAGATGTGCCAGTTGGGCGCTCTTCAATAATCAGGGTTTATATCAAGAGAAATGTATGTATGCATGTATATATATGTATGTATATGTGTATGTGTGTGTGTGTGTGTGTGTGTGTGTGTGTGCGTATATATATGTATGTTGCATAGATGCTTGAGCTCCTCAGGCTTAGGTGACTGGTCAGGAGAAATATAGATTAGAAAAATATAGATTTTTATCAAGACAGAATGACATCTGGGACATTTAGACCAACCGTGACAAGCTTATTGTTTGTGATTGCTGCCAACTCTCATGTTTTTGCGCTAAATTCACAGTATGTGAATTGCTCTTTGGTATGGATGCATATTGGTACCATGTAAGTTATAGACTATGTAGTAGTTTTTATTATTTTAATAGTCAGTATTATGTATTCGACAGATATCGTAAATTTTATTAATGGGTGTTCATTTTTGAATATTTTTATATTTAGGTTAGATTTTACAGATCTCAAAATAAATATCTATTTAAAAAAAATTGTAAAAAATGTAATGTTTACACAATATTAAAATTGTTGTCTTTTTTTATATTTTAGTATATGCAGCTATGACATAGAAATAAGTATAAAATAAAGCTTATCAGTGTCCACCAGCATTTCACTAATAGTGGATCCTCACTGGGCTGGTTCTTTACAGCTAATATCACACTGCTCAGTGTTTTATCATTTCTGCTCAACACTTCCTGTGTGCTTCTGTCTTTGACCCTCAGACCATCAGAAGCTCGAACGAGAAGCTCGAATCTGTCGTCTGCTGAAACACTCCAATATCGGTGAGCTTTTTACCCGCTCCAATTACAATAAAAAAATGTACATTAAATAGGTGGATGTTGTGTGATTCATTTCCCTACAGCCACATGAACCTCATTTCCTTTCTCTTTTTCTGTTTTAGTTCGTCTGCATGACAGTATATCAGAGGAGGGCTTCCACTACCTACTGTTTGATTTGTAAGTGTCAGTATACTTCCTGTCAGAATATTTCTCCGTTTCCCGTCATCAAACGAGCTTCGACGTGAGGAACAGCGCATCTTAATATGAGTCATCCCTCATATGCTATGTGCCTCTGAAGCCTTTTATTCTGTTTTTCTGCACTGTTAAAAGGATAATTCACGCAAAAATAAAAAAATGCTGTCATCATCTGCTCTTGCTCACGACGCTATATGAATGCAAAAAGAGTACTTCTACCTTCAAGTCACGTTGGATCGTATTTATGTGATGAGCACAAATTCACCCCACAAATTGTTATTGATCATAGTAAGTTGTTAAAATTGGCTAACACATTAATTTTATGACCAGAATTGCTGTACAATGTACATCACGTTGTAATTATGATTTTTCTAAATCAGTTTCTGCTGTTCTGATGAAAGTGGATAGTAACCAGTGGCTTTGCTGTGTAACTTCAGTATTATTTATAGTAAACTGTTATAGTATTTACTAATATTTTGAACTAGCTTTTATATTTTATATGTTCACTTTTAATTTCAGCTTTTAATTTTCTGATTTGATTTCATTTTAGCTTTTCACCTTGAACTTAAGCCGCGATTCCACCGAAATTAGCCGGAACAATTTGTCCCAGGAATGTTTTTTCCCCCAGACCTGTTGCTGTCTGCATTTCCATTGCGGTCTAAAGTACCACGAATAGGCAAATTAGTCCAGGACTGTAAGCGACTTTCCAGTTCCCGCTTAATAAAGCCTGAACCTCATCGTCGTGTAGTCGTATTTTTTAAACTCCATTCTTGATTCGAATAGCAAACAACTCTTACTACACGGCACGCAGAGCAACAGACTTTAAAAAATGGTGTTTGAAATAAAATGCTGCATGAACTCAACCAATCAGCATGTTCAGCGCCCAAGTCCAACCCCAAAAAGTTCCTGAACTTTAAAAAAAAAAAAACTACCTCAAAAATTTCATACCCGCAACATCATTAAGACCCTGGTCACTGCGGTCGAAACGCATTGAGTACCACCCCTAAAGTCTCTAATATTAGAGGTTAATATTAACAGAGCTATTATATTGAACAGCTTTTTATTTTCAGATATAATTACACTCAAATAAAAACCTCTCTAGTGATTTTATAGCTTAGTTAAGAACTGTGAAAATTGGACTTTCCTGAGGTAAATGCAACGTTAAGTGACATTGTTCACAAACTGTTTGAAGCAGCACTATGCAGGATTTCCGTTTTTGTCAAACTGTGACCCCTAGAGTCGCAGACGACCAACATTCAACCCGAAAATAATCATATAACCATTGCAATAACTCCGAAGTTATTCAGTTAAGGTAAAAAAAAAACACTGATTGAGCGATTAGGAGACATGATTCATTTCGGGAAAATTGTGTTTTATCTTTCAACATAACTTTTGATATTCATGCATGCTTTTTCATGCTGTCATTGTATTAAAGTTGAAAAAAAGACTTGCACTCCGCTCTGAGGCTGGACGTTTGAACTGAGGCGCTACAATGATTTGTCACATTTAAGAGAATCAAATGCCATTTTTTGTTAAATTAAATTAAATAAAATTTTGTGATAAAATGGACAGAATTTGAAAGCTGAGATATTGTTTCTTATTAAATTAACAAAGCACAAAGCTCTTTTGATTACTGTATAGGAGATGCGCAACAAAAATGTTGTAGGGGAAAAACTACGGACCTGGCAACCTAGGCTGATAAGTAATAATCGGCCCTGATCTTCAGCTGTTGATATACAATCGGTTAGATGACGATAGTGAAAATGGTAAAATCAACAAAAACATTCGTGCATCCTTAATTCGTATAAATTATAAAGTTTTAATTCTTTGTATTAAACGTGCAGGGATATCAGATGAGCTAAAATCAAAAATCATGCCATCTTTCCTGGGACTTTTTTCATTGGATTCTCGTCTCCATGGAAACTGAGCTTGAGGAAGAGACTTGCACTAGAACAGGAATTCTGTTTGAATTAGCAAATACCTTGGGTGAACTTGTTTCCTGTGTTTTAGGGTGACTGGAGGTGAACTCTTTGAGGACATTGTAGCCAGAGAGTACTACAGTGAAGCAGATGCCAGGTATGAATGCTTTTCTTAATGTTTTCCTCTCTTCTTCCCTTTCTTCTCTCTCATTGGCCCTAGCTTGTTGCACCCGGCACCACCACATACGCGTTCACTGTTAGTTTGTTTTGCATTTGGAGATGCTATACGAAATGCCATCTTCCACAGTGCAACACACAGATCTTGCTCTTTTTCCAGCACACACTCTAGGATGAAATGTGGCCTTTAGCCTGAAAAGATGGCAAGACAGAACTACACACTAACATTGTTTGAGGAAATTAACTGTACGATGTTGTTGTGTGTAGTTCAGGTGCTTTATGTGAACTATGTAAAGTGCCTTTGTTCAACACACTAGATTCGAACAATTCTAGAGTGTTGTTGATGTGTGTTTTGTCTAGATATGTCTTTTTCCACTGATCTATCTCTGTCCTTTCATCATGCATTATGTCTCTCTTTCTCATACACACACACACACACCTGCTCAAACAAACACAGACACAGCCTTTTTGCTGGCAATTCTTTGGCTATCCTCTACAGATCCCTTTCCACAGTGTGTGAGTGTGTGGTTATGTGCTATTTGCCAGGGTTTGGTGTATGTAGTTAAAGGTGTTAGTCCTGAGCATTATCACCTCTGTAGTGCAGCCCATATAGTATGCAATTCATGCTGACTTCCCTGTGTACATCCTGTGGGTGTATGTAACACGTTCATTTGGGCAGTCTCTCTTATGTTTGTTTGTTTTTTTTACCCAGTGCTTGTGCCATGGTATTGTTAGCATGGTGGATGTGGCATAGCAGTTAAAGCCTAGACTGGTAACTGGTAAAAGTGGTAAAAGTTTAAACCCTGAAAGAGATGATACATAAACTGCCACTATTTTGCCCTTGACACCAAACCTCGGTTTCTTTTAGATGTGTGACATTTGGGTGTGTAAATATAGTATAAATATATTTTTTTAATCATCTAAATACAAGACCTGATTTAAGTCTGCTTTTATTTGATAAAAAAATACAGTAAAACCTCTAATATTGTGAAAAATTATTACAATTTAAAATAACTTCTGTAATATTAGTGATTTTATATATATATATATATATGAAGAGTTCAGATGCAAAAGCCTCTAAATGCCATTTGAAATTTTCTTCTTTAATGATGATTTTTATCAAACTTGTATATTTAAGTTCAGTAATTTCACTTAAATAACAATTAATAGGTAATTATAATTGCCATTTAAGTGAAATCACTGAACTTAAATACACAAGCTTGATAAAAATGATCATTCTAGAAGAAAATTTCAAATGGCACTTAGAGGCTTTTGCATCTGAACTCTTCATATATATATATATATATATATATTCCTGTGATGGCAAAGCTGCGTCAATACTTCAGTCTTCAGTGTCACATGATCCTTCAAAAATCATTTGAAACATTTCAAATAAAGAAAGAAACATTTCTCATAACATTTCAAAGAAACATTTCTCATTACTATCAGTGTTGAAAATAGATGTGCTGCTTAATATTTTGTGGATAATGTGATACATTCATTTTTTTTTTTGATGAATAGAAAGTTAAAACAACAACAGCATTTATTTAAAATAGTTTTTGTAATGTGAAAGTCTTTACAGTCATTTTTGATCAATTAAAAGTATGAACCCAAAATTTTGAACAGTAGTGTATATAATAAAAATATAAAATAAAAAAAGATTTAAGGTTTGATACAAATAAAATGCACAAAATGAATACTTACATTTCTGTGTAAGCAAAAACGAATATTTGTTTTTTTATTTTTTTGCAGATTAAATACAGCATTTAATGGTCAACTGGTCTTTGCAGAACGAGTACTAGTTGATTACTTGTGCACATCCCTAATACAGGTGTCTGATTATATTATACTATGATCCGGGTTGATTTCAAGGGTTGCAGCAGGTTCAATCTTAAGTGTTTAAAATGTATAAACCACAGTTGCTGAGCCTCCCTGTCTTGATCTGTCACCACTATTAAAGTTGAGCAATGTGTATTTGTGCCCATGACCCGGCTGTTGGCTACCATATTACACTTTAGATGAGCTAAAGGGCAGTTTACTCTTTTAAAGTGTACTTGTATGATGTGTTTACACTGTAATTACTGCAATTACATGTACTATATTGCATGGGGGCTCTTATAATAGGTTTCTATAATGCCCACAGAGGCCTCTGAATGAAACGATGAAAGATGAAATTATAGGGTGATAACTGTCTGTTTGAATCAAGTGCTAGCTTCCATTCCCTAGATATCCTTGTCAAACAAAGTGCAGGTTATCAAGCACAATTTTGAGGGTGATATTGCTTTTATGCAACAACAACATTAATAATAATAATAATAATAATAATAAACAAAAATAATTATTAGGCTATTATTTTATTATTTTATAAAATAAACAGCATTGTTTTTATATGAAATAATTATTCCATTTATTTATAAATATGAATTACTTTATTTATGTAAATATTATTTAGTATGGAAAATTATAATAAAAAAAGTATTTTTTTTTACAAAAATGAATATTAGAAATTTCAGTTGGAAGTTATTTATCATTACCACTATAATCATTAGAACGTTGTGAAGTTGACAGCGAAATGAAACGTTTGTTGGAGTGGAGGATGCAGGGAAACATCTCAGCTTCTTCTCTAGTGCTCGTCTCCTGCTGACCTGCTTCCAGACACCTGCTGTCTGTCCCTCCTCTTGCTCTCTTTCCATCTCTGTTCTTCTCTCTTTCACTCTAAACGCCCCGCGTCTTGTGAAGCCCTGCAGTCGTTCGCTGCCCTGCCTCCTCAGAGAGAGGGAGAAACTAGGGCTCCAATTATCACACGTAATTAGGGCCTCAATTTTCTCCCCTCCTCCCATTCTCCACCTGTCTCTCTCTCTCTTTCTCTTTCTGTCTGCCTTCTGTCTTTTATTCAGATATTCTAGCTCGCCTCTTTCATTCTGTGTGATGGTGTCACTGACACTTTCTCCACTGTGTTGTGGCTCTTGTTGTTGGATGTGTGACAGAAAGTGAGTGTGACGCAAATGTAAATGGAAACGGGCCCAAGCTTTAGTGATTTAAATCAGCGAAAGGACTTTACTTAACATCTCTTATTCATAGTATTTGTCAAGCTTGTCTATTCAAATATTTGTAGTTTTGCATACATATATACAGTATATGTGTATAGTACACACACACACTCTTTACAATTTAGATTTAAGAATTATATCCTTGCAAAATTATAATTATATCCTTGCTGAATACAGAGATTAAGTTTTGTAACATGATGTTATTTATTTAAAGCTACACTGTGTAACTCTTTTAGTTTATTCTTAGCTAAAAAAATTTAGTTCTTTCAAAAATATATGTGCTCATTAATGTATATTTATTTCGTTCAATAATAAAGTATTCTCGTGAGTGTATAATATGCCATTGAAAATACATACGGGTAAGGGGTTCTAATGTCGGTCGCTATGTTGCCCCTCCATCTTGAAAGTGCATTAGCCAAAGAGGGATATACCCGTATTCAAGTTTTGCCTTTCGCGTTTACGTTTGAGTTAACACTCATGGACGAGGTCGGAATTGAGAGGAACAGAAACTAATATTCACTAGATAGTCATATACCTTTTCACCGCTAGATGGGGGTAAAAATCACACAGTGTAGCTTTAAATCATATGTTTTTGTCATAACTAGGGTTTTAAAGGAGCGGAAAATGGCCGGTAAATTTTTTGGAAACTTTCCAGAATTTTGTTGGGGAATTTTGGAAATATTCCAAGTTGTAAACTTTCTGAGAATTATGGGAATCTAAGGGAATTAATTTGAAATTTGGGGTAATTTATAAAAACTGTCTCATATATACACACATACACTCACATATTTCTGTAGCATTGTGCTGATTAGCTTTGCCCACTATAAAATATCAATAGTCTCAATAAAACTCATTGTGGCTAGTACATTGTTGGTTGAATTTTCCCTTTTTTAATTATTATTATTTTTTTTTATTTTTTTTTTACAATTTTTACAGTACTACAGTTACTCCCCTGAGCAGGTGGACAAAAACCACATACATGAATGATTAAATACATTAGACAGTTTGTATTTCTATTCCACTGGAACAATTATGTTGGTTCAGGTACATATATATATATATATATATATATGTGTGTGTGTGTGTGTGTGTGTGTCTTGTCGTATCTCTTGCATATAGTTGCCCTGTTGTTGGTCTGATGGCTTCTATTCTAAACGTAGATAAAACGTAAATATTTCTTGAGCACCAAATCATTAGGATGACTTCTGAAGGATCATATGACACTGAAGACTAGAGAAATGGTTTCGCCATCACAGAAGTAAATACTATTTTGAAACATTAAAATAGAAAAAGTTTTTTAATTGTTTAAATATTTACTGTATTTTTGATCAAATAAATGCAGCCTTGGTGAGCATAAGAGACTTCTTTAAAAATGACAAATTCTTACTGATCCCAACCCAAACCTGTATATATTTGTGTGTATGGTGTTTGTGTGTGTGTAATTGCTCTTCTTCAAAGACACTATATTGTTGTAAATCCACACACCAGCATTTATTCTCACATCCTTTAGATTTAACACACACACACACACACTCACTACACCTGTTTCTCCTCACATCCCTTCTACTCTCTCTCTTTCTCTCTCTGATTGTGTTCTAGTTGTTTACAGTTGTGTCTCATGTCTAAATGGTTTTGTCTCTTCACTTCCATCATTCACTTCCCTTTCTTCCCTCTCCTGTTTACGTCACTCTTCCCATCTCTTGTATATCGATCATTGAACCAATCACCTTGCTTTCTCTATCATCCCTGCTCCTTTTGTTCAATGCACTGCCATCACTTCATCAATCATTTGATTTCACTCTATCCATCCTCACATTTCCCCTCCCTCTCCCCACTCTCCTTTTTCTTTTCTTCCGTTTTGTCTTCACAGTCACTGTATCCATCAGATTCTAGACAGTGTCCATCATATTCACCAACATGACATAGTGCA